TCAAGAAACAAAATGTCGCTTCCGTCACTGAGAAAAAAAGTTGGAGGGAAAAAATTTGCTCTTTATCCCTAATAAATGTCTGTATAGATTAGTGGGTGCCCAGAACAGCCCCTGACACTTAATAAATGTTTGTCAAATAAATGGGTAATGTCCAGGAAACTTAATCTATGGGAATAAATGATCCAGTTGATAACTGAAGAAGAAGGCAGCGAGCTAGAAGACCAAGAGAACTCTCTTTAGAAGGAACTGGGGTAGGAAATGAGAACGAAAACAGAGTACTCGGTAAAATTATAAACAAGTAAATCCAGGAGGCTGGATAAAGTAGAGAGAAGACTGAAGCCCCGCAAGACCTACTGTCGATATTTGTACCAGTGAGTTTTTAAAATCGCTCTGGAACAGACAGTCCATGCCCTAAGTGAACACTTCCATGAAAGAGGAGAAGGAGAGCTGCCAAGTTCATTGTGTGACTGAACTATGCCAAACCAGAGACAGACAGTACCAGAAAAGAAAATTATAGGCTCATTTCGGTGACATTCACAGCGTCAAAGTCCAGAGTAAACAGTTAGTTCGCCAGACTGAACAGAGTATTAGAAAAATAAAACACCATGTCAAGTAGGGTTTATCCTAGGAATTCGAGAATGCCCAAGAAAGGTCACACTGCAAGTCTAGCAGGCAGAAAGACTGCGGTTATAACTTTTCTCCGCCAGAAAAGTACTTTTCCATCAGAGAAGAAAACCTTGCCCTGGCTGCTGTGCTCAGTGGATTGAGTGGCAGCCTGCAAACCAAGGTCACTAGTTTGATGCCCAGGCAGGACACATGCCTGGGTTGTGGACCAGGTTACCAGTTGGGGGCGTGCTAGAGGCAACCAACAGAGTCTCTTGCACATCGATGTTTCTCTCCCTCTCTTCCCTTCTCTCTAAAAATAAATAGATAAAATCCTTTAAAAAAGGAAAGGAAACATTTACTTCAACATGTTCAAAAGGCTACAGCCAACACGATTAACTAATAAGCCCTCCAGGGTCAGAGAAGGCCTCCCTCATTATAGACCCTTGAGCACCACGCAGCACAGAGAGTCCCCGGAGGACCACGAGCTGCTACTCGGATCCTCGTGAATGCGAGTGTGTTTGCTGGCTTAATGTTGAAGAGGGAAAATGTTTGTCATTCCAGAGAGGAGGGTCCTGGTTGCCAGAAACGAAATACAGTTAGCCATCGTCAAAATGAAGGGCCTTTCCGGCATTACTGTTACGCTAAAGATTTAGCTAAATGCTAAAGGTGTGTGTCTCTAAATACCAGGTATTTGTGTTTCTCAGGGTGTTTAAGGTATTCTTATGATGCGAATTATCTTTTAAATAGAATGATGGTGTGTAACAATGAGAAATTATGCATGAGAATAGCCCTGTTTTGAATATGGAGCTAACCAAAATTCACAAAACTTAACTCTTCACAAGTGATGACTGTGGTCTGAATTCTTTGGTTTTCCCTACAGATACCAAGTGCTGATAAGTACTTGTTAAAACTTATTTGAGGTTGAGGGCAAATTTGAATGTTTCTGTGAGCAGGGCAGCAACCACTTTATTAGAAGGTGTAAATGCATAGATCCTCCTAAAAATGTTGAAGTCAGAGTCTCTGACCCCAAGTGAACATCGGAAGAATTAGGGTCCACCTAACAGATGTTACAGTATTTCTGTTATTCACATGGCAAAAGTACCTGATTATTAAGAACAGAGCCCATCATTATTCATTCCCTCACTTCCAGAATCAGTCTTTCTGTGACCATTCAGCTGAATTATAATGGGCTGGCAGGGCAGGCTCTGTATGAACTGAAAGGAAGATGTAGAAGGACCTTCACAAGGTTGCTTACATTTGTATTAGGGGCAGAGGACAGCAAAAGAAAAAAGGCCGTGGAGAGGGAGGCTGGCAGGGGAGGGGCAGGCTGGCAGGGGAGAGCTGCTCACCCAGCTGTGGGCTGTGGGCCCTGCTTCCAACTCCAAGGCAAGCAGAGGTTCTAGTGATGCTGGCCAGTGTCTACCACTAGCCCAGCTCAGTGCTCATGACATCACATGTCAATCATTCAATATTTGCTCTTCATATGAATTGGGGAGGGGAGAGGTGGGCACACCAAAGTGCTGAGCTGAGGTGACTGGGAGGCTCAGCACCCGCTCCCCAACCCCTCCCGGGCCACAGCGGCCCACCTGGGAGCTACAGGTGAGAAGGCCTGCTCACCTGGGAGCTACAGGCACTGATGGGGCCGCTGGGTGAGCACACTACCTTGTTTGGAGGTGGAAGGAGGGAGGCTTGCCTCCCTTGCAGCTTTGTCCACCAGTCCCAACCCTCCTCTCCTTTCCCTCTGCAGAGCCCTGCAGTGGGCCCAGTGCTTCCACGTTCACAGTCACTCTCCGTCACCCCTCCGCTGCTTGAAGGCTGCCTCCGACTTTGCCTGTTCCTCACCAATTGGAGGCCAGGCTGCAAAGTGATTTTTTTCTTCTTCTCTGGGAATGGTCTCAATGAACAGAAGGGCTATGTGGCCCTGTCCCCTGACCATAGCTGATCGGCCTACAGATAACCCTCTGATTTAGACTCCTTCAGCCAATTCTCGCTGAGGATTTTTAACTCGAATCAGAAACCTAGAGATGGAGGTTGTGGTGGGTGGGGCTTAGTCATACAATGGCAGCGTGTGAAAATGTCTGGCCAGGAATGCCTGCTGCTGCAGCCCAGAGCTGCCTGGGGTAGTGCACGGTCATGGGCCCACTGAGTGTGACATGAGATGGGAGTGAGCTGGGAGGAGGGGGCTGGATATTACAGTCATACCTCCGTATCTGTCGGCTTCACAGCTTGTCAAACCCTGTACTCTGTCTCATTTGGACAAGAAAAAATGTTTTAGCACTCGGTGCTTGCTTGGAACTCATTGCATTTGCTAGAACGTGTAAGAGTCATGATGCTTCTCTGCAAGAGAAAATGTTTCATCACTGGTCACATTTGGTACTCGTTGGTTTCGGCACTTGTCACGAGTTCCCGAACACACTGATGACGAGTACCCAGGTGCCACTGTAGGGTGTAGGAGCCCTGAGCTGCCATATAAGGGGTGCAGCTACCCTGGTACGGAGGCCACATACAGAGGCTATGTGGAGAGGTCTTTTGAAAAGGGAGAGGCCCTGAGATCACATAAAGAAGCCCTCCCTGGCTGGTGTTGCTCAGTGGATTGAGCATGGGCCTGCAAACCAGAGGTTCGCGGTTCAATTCCCAGTCAGGGCACATGCCTGAGTTGCAGGCTAGTTCCCAGCAGGGGACGCACGAGAGGCAACCATACATTGATGTTTCTCTCTTTCTCTCCTTCCCTTCCTCTCTATAAACAAACAAACAAACAAATAAGAAAGAAGCCCATAGAGCAGGTGTTCAGCTGAGTCCGGCCCCCAGCCAACCTGCCCGCTGAAGACCGTGCACAAATGACCATGAGCAAGGCCAGCGGGACCATGCAGCCCAGCCCAGCCAGACTACACCATCTTGGGCAAATAAAACGATTGTTGTTTTAAGTCACTGAATTGTGGAGTTGGTCACACAGCAATTGGTAACAGAGCATCCAGGTATGAGAGGGATCCCAAGACTCCACGTTCAGAATGAGAGTGGTGCATATCCCCACCCCACTGCTCCTGGGCCTGGCCATGTGATCTGACCTGGCCAATCGCATACGAGCAGCCATGACGCACATGCCTCGCTTCAGACAGTTCAGGTGGTTTGGCTGGGCCTCTGGTGTCTGGTCCTTTGCCATGGGAAGAGCTGCCCAGTGACTCCTGCTCTTCAGCCTGTGTCCAGAGGACAAACACGTGGGGTGCACCTGCTGGCTGCAGAAACCACCATGGCCAATCCACAGACCAGTGAGCAAGAAACATGTGCTTAGTGTCACAAGCCACTGAGAGCTGAGACCTGAGGGTGGCGGCTGCTGCTGCTGTAAAACTGACTAAATGCTCCACCAACCAAATGTCATTTTGAGGTGTTTGATCTGGCACTGAAGAACACACCATGCTCCCAGCTCGTTGCCATAGTGATGCTGTATTCGGTATGCTGGCTAGGGCTGCCGCTGGGGTTCTAAGGGATGGGGTTGGCTAAGGTAAACGCTGCCCAATTTCTGTACCATGCTAGGTGACAATGAAGTGGTAAATCAGAGATGTTCGGCTCGTGAGTCTGATTTTTGCATCCGCCTTGCTCCCAAGCCTCTCAAAAGAACTTTTGTGATATACAACATGGCCACGATTTTCAGGTCCCAGAATCGGGCTCTTTGGGACTGGAGGCCTCACCTGCCCTTTTGTTGTCAAAGCAACTGCTCCTGAATTCGCCCAGGACAGGGAGGATCTGTGAATGGACTGGCCATCGTCTGATGACGTGGGCAGGTGCTCCGGTAGTGCGCACAGGTGCGCGTCTCTGAGATTCTACGTGTTGCCTGGAGCAGCGCCTTGCGCAGGCGCTGTGCCCTTCCGACACCCCCGTGATGGGAGTCATATTTCCCTCTGTGGTCCATAAGCGGGACCACAGTCTGCTTATGAAGTTGCTCTGGGAAACCCAGATAGCTCTACCTTTAATTCTCATGAAGCTCGGAAAGCACACCTGCGGGTTAGCCTCCTTCCCCACCTGTGTCACCCCGGCAGGACCACCGTCTCCTCTCACTCCTAATGGGAAGAGCAAGGCTGGGGGGTTTGGATCCCAAAGAATGGGCTCCACTCAAGAAAACCCAGTTCACACAGAGATGGTTATCATTTTATATTTTTCTAAGAACCCCATGGAAAAATCCTTTTTGGAAGGGGTGACATAAAATTTTTAAATAAAAGAATGGAATGGTAAACATATTGACAAATAGCAATTTGAGTTATGATAATTCTGTTGTATTTTTTTACAGATTTTATATTAACATTGAAATATATGGTTCTAGGAACTGTCTAATAAAACTAGGAAATAGAGAGAAAATTGGGATAATCCTGTGTTCACTATTCAGATTTTCACCGATGAGACTACTGGTTGGCACTGGTAGTTGATAAGTCCATTTTGTTTCTTTTAAGGAATGTTTTGCATGTATCCCATGGGTGGATATTACGTATTTGCAACATAAATACTATAAAAATCAGTCCCCCCAGCACCACGGCGGTTGCAATGGCAATAAGTGTGTGTCCTAAAAACGGCAGTGGCACTTCGTCAACGTAAATCTGCAACAGAAAAAGCAAAGTCTTTAAGCTTTCTGAATCTAATAATTCAAAACACTGAACTTGACACAATTCGCACATGGTGGGAACACTGCTGATCATTCAGCAAAACTCTGCCCAGACTTATCCAGCACCCGCGAAGCTCAGAAACAGTCTCTCCATGATTTGTTAAGAAACAATTTTTGCACAACAGACAGGGAGTAAGAATCCTCCTTGTCACCCTCCTTGCCTCTATTGTGTCTCCTTAGTACCAGAAGTAGGCGGATAGGACAGATAGGAAGCCGCCCTGCATTCACTGCTGGAGGGACAGGCCCAGGACAGTGGGAACGGCTGGACATTGCCTGGGCGGGAGTTAGGGGAGGCGCTTCCTGAGCAGGATGTGGAAAAGTAAGTGGGTTCACAGAAGAGAAGGAGAAGAAGGGGCACCCAGGGAGTCAGCGTGTGCTTTCTCCAGCTGCTGTCTCTTTAGAAAATCCTCTAATGAAGGGCTGACGTAGGAACATTTTTCGATATTCAGAATGGTCTCTCTGCCTGAATGGGGACTGTGTTTTGGTGTGCATCATGTGCCCTTTTTTGCCCAAAATTTTGAGGCCAAAAAAAAAAAAAAAAAAGGATGTGCATTGTACATGGGTAGTACTAATTTTATAAATGTTTTTAATTCTTTGACTTATGCTTATGCACTAAAAGTGTAACTCTAGAAAGCGGTCATGATATCTGTATGCAAAATAATACCCTGGAATACAAGAATTGGTTTTGTTTCTAAGTAGAAATTAAAAAGTGGAATTAAAAAATTAAAATGAAGGATTTTCCTGAAAGTTAGGGCCAAAAATGTGGGTGCACGTTATACACAGCAAAATACGGTGGATTAGGGAAACAAGTTCCACAGCGGAGACAGGCTTACTGAGCGACAGGCACAGAGGTGTCTTTTTCTCGGAGGGTTTGGTTTAGGATGGGTGCCGTTCATGTGAAATGTGCAAGCAAGGGCACACGGAGATGAAGGCGGTTCAAGTGCTGTGGCTCGTGTTTCCTGGGTGAAGTAGGAGGCAAGATCATCTTTTGAGGTAGAAGAAAGCGGAGTTGGATGGAAATAGAATAGTGGGGAATGTGGGCAAATGTCAACTGGTAAAGAACAGGATGGGCAAAGGTATAACTCAAGTTAAACGTACCACCACCCTCCCTGTGACCCAAGGGGCTGTCCGTTTTCTTAGAAGCAGTCCCCATATGCTGTCCATTCTCTCGCGACTCCGTTCAGATTCAGCATTTCTGTTCCACTTTCAATACTGCTGCTGTGAGCCTCAGGACCTCACTTGGTATCAATCAGCTACTTTACACTGTTAAAAAATTATTTCGTGATTCCTTTCCTTTATTAACTGTGCAATTACTTCCTTTTTACTATTCATTTTTGTAGTTTTTCCTTCCTTCCTGAAAATTCATTTTCCTCTGTTGATACTTGTTTTTAGCCTGAAGAACTCCCTTAAGCATTTTTTTAGAAGAGGAATTTTGTCAACAGTGGATTCTCCTAGTTTCCTTTATCTGAGAATTGCCTTTATTGTTCTCTCCTTCCCAAAGGGTATTTTCACTAGATGCAAGGAAAGTCAGAAAACTGAGCTAAACGTGGAAGGTGGAGATAAAAATAAATACAGGTTCTCCCGCCTGTCATGCGCCCTAACTGCATCACTGCTGACGACATCGTCACCACTATTTTTCAGGATCTCCAGTCTCCAGGCCTTGTCCATCACACAAGTTTGGCCGTTTTTAAAGCCTCAGTGTCTCTTGGACTAATGCCCGTCATGTTATCTCCCCAGCCCTCACCCCAGGTGGTACCTGTGCATTCACCGTACCTGAAATTCTTCCACTAGGTTACAAAAAGTGACTCCCGGAATAACGGACACTCTGAAGTGAAAGAGCTCAGAGCCCTGTGGAAAAAACACACCTGGTCCTTAGCAGCACAGACATGTGCATGGGTTTATGTAAAAATGTACACTGGAGCCACCTTCCCCACAGATGTGGCATTGACATTCCAATCATCTGAGACTCTGGGCATACACTGTATTCTTCAGAATGAAAATGGAAGGAGAAGTACAAGAGTTTGAAATGGAGAGATTTGACAGCTGATGCTGCACTTTGTATTCGGAATGGGAAAACAGAAATTTGCAACATGGCCTCGATGCTTATGCTGGGCTAGTCCTCATCCTCGTTGTTCTGATATGGCCCCTAACTTTCATCAGCTTTCTCAATGAATACCTAGATGATATCAACTCCATGTATTCTTATGGGTAGCTGGGACCAGAAGGTGTGTCTGTGTGCATGCAGGTGAAGAACCCATTGCCCCCGGACTTTTGGAAACACACTTTCTGTTCCATTTTGATGGATAATGTATGGGTCTTTCCTGTCAGCTCAAAAAGTCATTAAGTTAATGCTAAGTTCAACTTTCAGATAACTTTAGAAACAATAACATCAAAGGAAATGGAAAAATAAATACTCTCCATATACAAGGTCTATCTGGAAATAGTCCAGCATTATGAGAATGGTGTGCATGACATGGATGTAACCTGGCAGCCAAGGAGAGTGGGCTGGAATGCACATGCGTGAACAATGACAACCTCACAGGGGGAGACAGACACTGCTGAATGAACAGGTGCACTGTGTGGCTGTTGTGTTCAAAATGACTGAGTGACTAGAGCAATTAATAATTGGCATCAGAATTAGCATTAACTTTGACCATTCCTCCACAGAAACTATTCAGATGATTCAGAAGGCCACGGCTATAGGCAACTGGTGATTGGCAGCTTCATCACAACAATATGCCTGCTCATGCAGAGTTTCTTGGTAAAACATCAAATCATCCAAGTGACTCATTCCTCTTATAGCCCAGATTTGGTGCCCAGCAACTTCCGGCTTTTCCCAAAACTAAAATCACCTTTGAAAGGAAAGTAATTTCATACCATTGATGAGATTCAGGAAAATACAATGGGGCAGCTGATGGTGACTGGGAGAACTGTGTGAGGTACCAAGGTGCCTATTTGGAAGGGGACTGAGGTGTCATTGTCCTATGTATAAATGTTTCTCGTATCTTGTATCTCCTTTAATAAATGTCTCTATTCTTCATATACATGGCTGGATACCTTCCAAACAGACTTTGTACTTTAAGGGTGCTATTTCCACCATTCATGGATACCTACACTTTAAAACTAAAACCGATCTTAGTTTAGACATACACATTTTATCTCAACTCAAAACAGGAATAACAAAAATGCTGCCAACTTACCTTTATGCTTAAATTGAGGCCTGAAGGATTATACACTGGAACATTGAGAATAGACTCTAAGTAAATTTTCAGTTTTCTAACATTTTCTGGTACAGTGTGTTCTAAAAGTACATGAAATGTAGTTTAAGTACATGCATGCTTTCTCATTTTGTATATAACTTATTACATACAGTAAGGTACAATGAAAGATTCTACTGCATGGCATGACTAAATGATCCTATATTTTTAGTTCTGCTTGACTTTGTGGAAGATAAATTCCTCACATGGCTCCTCCTCAGAGGCACTGTCAAGAAGGACAAGACCTCTGACCACCTTAACTCCTTCCAGCTCAATGCCCATGACCAGTTCTGACCAGTACATCCTTTGTGTCTTTGGCATTGAGATACCAATGGACCCCTTTAGTGGTTGTTAAGTGATGTTAAATAAGCTGGCACAAAAATTTCACAATAGGATCACTAAAACTCTTTCCCAGACAAGTGATCAGTTAGTTAATCCTGCTTTTCTTATAATTATTTCTAAAACCAGATGTGTAGTGTGGGGGTTAGAAATTGCAGTGGTATAATGATATATAGGATCGAAAGGGGGAAAAAAAGCTCTGATTGGAGCATTTGCCAATTCCCATGGTGTGAATACTCTCACCATGGCTAATAGCAAGCTACCAGTGGCTTTAACAACCAGTATGCAAAATGCTTGAAGGTTTAATAGTCAGCACTCAAAGCTGGTAACAGCAGGCTCCAACATACCACAGAAAATGGGATGCTAGTTAAAGCAAAATATTTAGCAGTGTTTTTGGTTCTGGGTTTTTTGTTTGTTTGTTTGTTAGTTAGTTAGTTTGTTTTTTTTTACTTATTTTTCATTCCAAAAGTGCATATGTTGGGCAGAGTAAGACCTACTGCACATCAAATGTCTAGATATTTGGTAACATAAATGATTGATCAAAATTGTATTCCATTCCATCTATCTGTCTGCCAGTTGTCTACCTACACTTGGTAAGATATTCATACAAAAACAAAACTCAAGATGTGCAATAAAAAACTCTTTTACATATTTCAGGTAAAACTGAATTGTGAAAAATTACATCTTTTCTTATTTAAAAGGATTTCTGCATCTTTTCAATTATTTTACCATAAAATCTTAAAAATTTTTTTTTCATGTAAGTAGAAGATACTGGCAACACCTTGTGTAGCCCCCCATGTGACTCTGCGTACCCAGTGGAAGGGGACACTTAGGTTGACATGTAGCACAGATCCAGTCAATCATCTTTGCTACTAATCTACAAAATAGCTTTCAAATATCTAACAGTTTAAATTTGTCGCAAATGCTTTTCTGCCATAGAATCCAGGTCACAGGAAGGATGATGAAGTAAGAGGGAGATCATAGAATGACCAGCAGAATGCCAATGGATTCAAACCCTTTTCAGAAGCACTCTGGCTGTCTCTCGTGCAGTTCTGGTAAATGACTTATCTAGGTAATAATGACACCGCTTAGGAGGTAAGATGCTTATAGAAAAAAGCAAACCCTACTGAGTTCCCAGTTTTCTCTGTCATTCACTTCCATCACAGTGACCAGATATGGAGTTTCCACTGGGACATGTCCATCCTCACTGTGAATTTCCAAAGAGATTGGGTATTGTGTAACTGGAAACTTAAAACGAGGAACCTGAAAGGGAAATTCCAAGAATAGATGTAAATTTGGGAAATTTAATACTAATTTGATTTCCTGGTAAAGAATGCATAGCTATGTTCCCAAGAGTCTGGATACTCCAAATGAAATGGGCTACCAAGGGTTTCTGACAATAAAAATCTGTTTTGCAGTAGAATCAATGTGAACTCCAAAAGGGATAGACAAACTTGGTGGGACGAAAACCTTTAACTTTGCATGGGCCTTTTTCACAGGACTTGACTATGAGGATTTGCCAACTTCCTTAGCTGCCCCATATCCCATAAGTCACTGCGTGATCTGGATCCTGCCCGTCCCCACACACCTGTCTCCTTGCCGGTCCTGATCTTTCAGCCACACTCTTTAGGCTCAGGCTCCAGAGCCAGAGTTCTAGTCTAACTCCATCACACGGGACTGATGTGGTTGTTGGCAAATTACCTGGCTTTGCTGGGCCTCAGATGGAATCATGGAGAAGCCTCAGAGCAGGGTCTAGTGGCCAGTCAATGCTCAAGAAATATTACTGTAATTCAGCAACTGGGTAGTTGCAGAGGTGCGTAATAACAGCCCTCATAACTTGTCAAGGGTGATTCTATCCCAATATTGTATTAAGTGATCATATCTTTATATGTAAAGGAAAAATTACTTCATTTAATGCTATGTGTAGTCTTATAAGGCATTTGAATTAGTTCTAATTGAAAGTCCTACCAGGTACATACCTAACTTGGCTAATGCAAACACAAACATGATACACCTTCCAATGCTTTGAGACCAATATTTGTACAACCTGTTCTCTTCACCGACATGTTAGACTGTCTTGTGTTTTGTCACTGCTACCAGGCTAAACTTCCTGATCACAAAGATTTCAACTTCTATTATCCCAGAACCTGATATACAATAGATACTAAGTTTTTTTTTGAATGAATTAATATTCACCATAATGTAGTAGAGTGTTGGACAAGTTACAAATTGTTTTCATATAGACACGAGTGGGTATCTTTATAAGAAACTGTTGAATGGACAGGCAGAGTGGGTATCATTCTATTTTACAGATGATGTTAATAAGCTTATCGGGGGACATTTAACTCCAGATCTTTATAGCTCTCTATCGTCTTCAGTTCTATGTCACAACAAGACATCATTTCTTAGTTTTTGTACTTAACCAAAATGTGCATTTCAGAATCTATTTAATAGGAAAGTACTCTGTGGTCAGGTCATTAAAAATTATCTCACCTTTTCTCTGCAATCTGAGAAAGCAACGGCATGCGAAAACTTCTGGTCGTGTGTGCAGTTACACTCCTCCCGAGTGGACACATTAGCACACTGTTTGAATTTACCAGATTTCTGCAAATGGAATTGACAAAGGTTGACTTTTTTCCCCTGTGGCGGGATCTCCACAAACTGAGTAAATGCTCAAAAAATATTTGTTCCCTGAGTAAATGAAATCCCCGAGAGAGGAAAACAAATCCATTAATCATAAAGGAGAAGTAAAATATTTCTGAATTGTGCCCTCTTGCTTGGTGATACCTGAACGCAAGTATCACTGAGCTGCTTGCCCGTTTGTAAGTTGTCACAGCTGTCTTAGTGCATGTGAAGTGGTATCTCACGGTGGCTTTGATTTGCGTTTCCCTGGTAACAAATAAGGAGGTGCAGAGTCACTGAGCCCATCCCCATCGCTGCCTGCTGCCCTCGGTGCATGGTGTTGCCTGGTCCCAGAGGAAGGCCGTTGGTCTCCCCTTCACACTAGTCTGCGCTCCTCCTGCATCGTCCCCTGTTTGGTTGGCCCCTGCTCATCTCTCAGCCTGACACCCTCGGACTAAGCTGGGCATCCTGATCCACAGTCGCAGTGTGTGTTTTGTGCCTGTCTCTACTACACGTCTAACTTGAACTTTAGGGCAAGTGAGGGCCAACCGGGAGATTTTTAAAAATTCAGATTTCAGGACGACACCCCACAGTTTCCGATTCGGTAGCTAGGAGGTGAGAATGAGGACACCATGAGGTAGAAATATTCCCAGGTAGCCCCGCTTCAGGTTATGCAGGGCCTCGCTGTTCACAGACACCGCACTGGAAAACGCTGTTTAGTTCGTACAACTTTCTTGTTTGATGCCTGTTCTCCCCCGTTAGAGTGAAGATCCCTGAAGGTGTCATGTTTATCATGCTCATTGCTGTGTCCTCAGAGAACATCTGTACAGTGCCTGGTAACACTGGTGATACGGAAGTTAACATTTGTTGAATTTCAAAAGATGCATTAAAAAACTTTCATCTATTTAGGTATGTATATTAGATATACTTCCTATTCGACTCTCCCCATAAAACCCTGAAAAAAAACCCTTAAAAGATTTCCACGGAATGCCTTGGCTGGAGTGGCTCAGTGGGTTGAGTGCTGGCTTGGGAACCAAAGGGTCACTGGTTTGATTCCCAGTCAGGGCTCATGCCTGTGTTGCTGGCCAGGTCCCCAGTAGGGGCTGCGTGAGAGGCAACCACACACTGACGTTTCTCTCCCTCTCTTTCTTCCTCCCTTTCCCTCTCTCTATAAATAAACAAAATATTTTTTTTAAATTTTCATGTAAATACAGTAAAACTGTATTTAAATACAATAAAACTGTATTTCAATACAGGAGGCTTAGTGGTAGTGATGCACCAGATTTATCTTTGTGAGAAAATGGAATTGAAGAACGTAGTATTATAGTTGCTCATTGCCTAGAACAGAGCTTCTTATCTTGAAATCCAAGATTCGACAAGAAGTCAACCTCCTCATGTTGTGTGTGTGTAACAATATGTGTACAAATGTGTATTATTGCTTTGTTCAACAATTTTGTTCAACAGTGCTCTCCATGTCTGGCACTGTTCTTGGTACTAAAGGTAAAGTAGAGAGCAAAATAGATTTAAAAAAAAAACCTGCCTTCTGTAGCTTACCTTTTTATGAAATACAATAAATAAAATAAATGAGTAAAATTTTAATAAGTGCAACGAGGAAAAATAAGACAGGGAAGGTGGATGGGGGTGGGTAATAATGGAGATGGGACTGTTCTAAATAGAGGTTAAGGAAGGCCTCACAATGAATGTTAACATTTAAGCAAAAACCAAAGGACGGTGATAAAGGGTTCTGCGTCATATTGGGCAGAAGAGCGTTCCAGACAGAGGAATTTTTTGAAACTATGAAGATCCTGAAGTGGAAACATGTCTGGCATATTTGAAGAACAGTAAGGCGGCCAGTGTGGCTAGAGCAGGCCGACCTGGGCAACATCAGGTCAGATGCAGTGCCAAGGTCAAACCACGAAGGACATGGTATTAAGGAGGACCTTATAAACCATTGGGAGAAGCTGGCTTTTACTCTGACTGAGGTGGGAAGACAGCGGAGAGTTTTGAGCAAGAGAAACAATTTCATGTCATTGTGTGTGTGCACATGTTCGTGAATGGATGCAAATGTCTGTACATACATATATAGGCAGGTAAGTGTGTTTTTCTGGAGAGAGATTCCATAGGCATCTATGGTTTTCTCAAGAAGCCACCCCATAATGTACTCTCCCTCTGTTCTCCACCTAGTTCGCTCCACACTCCAGAGAGGCAGGGCACTGCTGGGTTAGTTTCTAGGAAGAACCTTGGCAGGAGTTTAAGTGTGTCTATGTTGAGGCAAACACTCTTCTTTTCTTTTGGGCACCATTACTTTTTCAGGGCTGGAGGTGTGAGATGGGTCTGGAGGCTCTTTTTATTTGAGAAAAGGTGCTTTCAGCCCATTCATCACCTTCAAAATCTAAATGGGAGCCAGGGGGAGGTCAGGGGTAAAGGGTCCCTTGGACTTCTTGATTCCAAAAGAATATTCAGGAATAGCGGTAAAATGAGAGGGACTGAAGTCGTAGAAGGAGGAATTGGTAGCAATCGTAGTAGTAATCATCATCATCACTATCACCATCAGCAGCAGCATCATCATTACCAACATCACCCTCATCACCATCACCACCACCACCAGCAGCAGCATCACCAACATCACCCTCATCACCATCACCACCACCACCAGCAGCAGCATCACCAACATCACCCTCATCACCATCACCACCACCACCACCAGCAGCATCACCAACATCACCCTCATCACCATCACCACCACCACCAGCAGCAGCATCACCAACATCACCCTCATCACCATCACCACCACCACCACCAGCAGCATCACCAACATCACCCTCATCACCATCACCACCACCACCAGCAGCAGCATCACCAACATCACCCTCATCACCATCACCACCACCATCATCACCGAAAAGGGCAGATGGAGCATTTTACTAAACACGGCTTCTCAATTAATCCCTGTAGCTACTTTCAACTGTAATTTTACTCAATGATCTTGAATTCGAATAAATACTAGTTTATTTGTAGAAAAATGACTCACCTTTGACTTTCGAAATAGATTTCTGGGGATGGGCTTGCTAGGATCTGCATGGTAAAAATTATCCGTAAGTGGAATGGCAATTCCCATATTAGATGGAGGCCTGTAGTTTATCTGCAAGTGATTAAATAAAATATGTAATTCATTATTTACTATGTCTTTGATTTAAATATCTTCACTTTGCAGAAAAGCATTCAAAGCAAATATTTTGTTTTTAGTTCCAGGTATTAAAGTAAATTTCTATTCACCCTATGCTCCCAAACCAATATTTTCTGGAATTTCAACAGCTTCAATATAAGTTGGACCTTGTAAATAAGTGAAAATTCTTTTATTACCTAAAATAGTGGCCATAAAGTCAATGCAAATAAAGGTTAAACACCTTGTAAAAAGTTCTAGTGATGTATTTAGTAAATAATTCTTCAAGTTTTGTTATTTGCTTTTTTTGCTACAAGAAAAATTGTAAGTAATAAGTTAGCAGAGTACTATATTATATTTTTAAAATAGTCAGATTCTGACAAGGCAAAAAATAAAATAGCTACTACTTTGAAATGGGGCCAGTAACGGTAACTTGGGACAGGTCAACATAAGGACAAGTAATTTCATATATTACAAAAACCAAGGTTATGCAACCATTTATATACATAAGTGACATAAATAACAATGAAGCGAAGTAACCAAAAAATCATTATTTCAGAAACATTTTACATTTTAGAAATAAGTCATTATCACATCCTTGAACTAACACGAGGACTGAAAAATAACTGGGGTGTTCTGAGCATTTTAGGAAAGAAATGCTAAGACTGAACGGTTAGCCAATCACACAAAAGCAGTATATCACTGGTACCCTTAAACCAATCTGCTTAGGTAGTTTTCGTTTGTTTGTTTTCGTTTCTTACCGGCAAAGTTTTGATCATATTAAAGCCCTGGCTGTCTTTGTGAACCCCACTGAGCCAGCCTTCCAGCGGGATGACTTCACTGGGAATGTGGTGCATAGACTTGAGATAACTACAGCTGCTCTTCATTATTGGCACGAACGTTGTAACGAAGCAGTCCGTCGAGGCTTCCCAGACAATAAACGCCAGCGAAGTGATTCCCTGGAAAGATCCAAATGAATGAAGGTGATTTCGAGTCACTGTGATAGGATGCACTGCGTCCGCAAGAAACTCCTATGCTGATATCTTAACCTCCAGTATCTCAGAATGTGACTGTGTTTGGAGAGAGGACCTTTAAAGAGGTATCTGACTTAAAATGAGATCAATAGGGCAGGCCCTAGTTTCACATGACGGGCGTCCCTAGGGCAAGAGAAGATCTGAACACAGGCACACACATGGGGGGAAGATGAAGACACAGGAAAGAGGTGAGGAAACCAACCCCGCTGACACCTGGATCTTGAACTTCTAGCCTCCGGAAGTGTGAGAAAATAAGGTTCTCTTGTTTAATCCTTCCAGTCTGTCCTATTTTGTGATGACAGCTGAGCTAAATGACATAGTAACCAACTAAAGAATATAGAAAAAGAACAGAAATAGAAAAAGAACATTAATAGAAAACGGAAATAGAGTGATAAGTTTGACATAAAGATCTGTTTGAGAGTAAACCATAATAGAAAACACATTCTTTTCCAGGAAGAAATACATTCCTATCTAATTGGATATGGGCAACATTTGGAAATGAGCAAGACTCAGGAAGGACTTATTAAGTAAATAGCACAGTGACTTCCAACTCACATAGATGGGGCTTCCCCCACTCACTGATTAAGCACCCTGGCATTTGCTCTGATGATATGAATAAAATAATTTCTATTGGCACACATTTTGAAAAGAAGTTATTCACTTAGCAATCACTGTGCATCACGAAGATCTATCTTTAGCAGGAATTTGTGCACAATAAATGTATTTCAACCTGGAAAAATATTAAATATTCAATAAAACTTCATAAATTCTGTTTGAAATCTGAAAGTATTTTGGGAATTTTAAGAGTGCAGAAATACTAATAACTCTAGTGGTACAGCAAACTGTGGTAGTGGGAGTTTTACTCCTATTCCCATATTCTATAGCCATTAAAAGATGGATTTTTAATAAATTTTTGCCAAAACACTTTGAACAAGAATCTAAACAGGGTTATTCTTGTAAAGGAAATTTGGGGGTGGAGAGGAAGCAGAAGTTAAATAAGAAACAAGGAAGCAAAGAGAAAAAGCTAGAATGTTGGGCATTCTAGAACAGAACGGACCCAATTTCTACAATTCAATGGCAGGAGAATAACATGGAATAGTACCTTTTAACTAAAAGAGACTTAAGAGATAAAATAATCACATACTGTATAAATCTTGTTTGGATCCCAATTCAAACAAACCAACTATAAATCATTTTGAAAAAACTGGGGAAATTTGATTATAGGCTGAGGTTTACAGGACCTGTAGGTTTCAAACTGAAAATTTAGTTTAACGAGTTTTCGGAATGACAGTGGCGTTGTGACTGTGTGAGGGAAAACACACACACTTTTACAGACGTAGATTGAAGCACACAGGAGTGACATGACGGAATGTTTGCTGTTCACTTTAAAATGTCGGAATATAAACAAATTACACAGGGATGATAAAACAAAAATAACAAAATCTTGACTATTGTTTAATACAAGTGTAATAGAGATATGGAAATTCTACTTTTCTCTATATGTTAAAGTCTTTATGATAAAAAAACTTAAGAATATGTAGAAGAAATGTATTGACTTGGAAGGATTGAAACATAGTTAAGTGGAAAGTGCAAATATTTTAAAGTGTATATATAATGTTCTCCCTTTTTGGGGGAAAAATAGGAAAATACTGTGGTAAGTTCTCAGTGACTAAGCATTTTCTATGCTTTAGATGCCCTACTGGAATTATCACATTTAATTCTTAAAACAACCTTATGAGGTAGGTATTATTATCATCTCTGTTTTATGAATAAGGAACTAACTGCAGTAAAGTGACTGTCCCAATTTCACACTGAAGCACTAGAAATGAGATCTAACTCGGTCTGTCTTTAACAGAGCTCGCCCTTTTAACCTCTAACCTTAATCTTTAACCTCTAACCTCTAACTTTAACCCTAAAGGCTTTTCCTTAGCTTATATTGTAACTTTTCTATAATTAGTAGATTTTTTTGTAATTAAAGAAAACCTTACTTGCAGTAAAGCTTTGCTAGCTACCGAAATTTTCATTAGGTAATTATCAGCAACATCGAAGGAGCCTTCGGCTTTAACTTCCAACACAGTTGGGTTTCCAACAATTATTTTCACTAGTGGTAGTTCAGGTATTTGAGACCCTATAGGAACAAGGCTAGCAGTTAGTACTGAATCATAAAAATCCTAAACCATTTCATAATGATTGGCTAATCAGGATTCTAGAACATCAGAATCCATTATGAAGACTGTGTAATGCCTGTGAATACGGTTAGGAATTTCCATAGAGTTAATTTTAATAGTTACTAGAAAAATTTAACTTTGCAAATAGTTTTTCCAAATTTCTCGCAAAATATCACTCCACTTACCCCTTATTTCCTCAGCCAGGTTCTCGAGTGCATAGAAAGGTCATTTGGTTGGTACTGATCACACTGAGTTGGGTATACTCCGTAAAGAAACTGAAGGGTAGGCTCAGTTTAAAGGGCTGTCAGTCAATTGTCATGGAGAGAATACTTGTAGGCCATTAACACAATATGTCACCAGGGCAATTCCTGCCTGCAGGTCCCTTGTGTGCAAACTTTCCATGCTGAGAAACTTAAAAAAAAGGAGTTTTGAAACACTGTGTGGTCTAACAGTTATCTTTACTAATGGGAAATCAGGAATGGAAATAACTGATTTGCCTGAAGTCACACCTGAGGTTTCCCTTCAGTCAAAATCATCTGGCCAGCACTTCCTAACCTATAACTGGGGGTTGTGTTAAAATGCACATTCTGATTTAGCAGGTCCAAAGAGGGGTCTGATATTTCACATTCCACCCCCTAGCTTTATTGAGGTAAATTGACCATCAAATTGCATAGTTTAAAGTTGTATAATGCGATGATTTGTGATTTGCATATATTGTGAAATGGTTACTGCGATTAACACATGTACCACCTGACATGTAGTTATCTTGTGTGTGTGTGTGTGTGTGTGTGGTGTGACAATGCTTAAAATCTACTTTCTTAGCAAATTTCAAATACATAATACAATATGGTTAACTATAGTCACCATGCTGTACACAATGTCCCCAGAACTTTCTCATTTTATAACTAGAAATTTGTACCCTTTGACCAACATCTGCCTATTTCACCCCCGCCCCCAGCCCCTAGCAACCAGCATCTACTCTGTATTTCCATGGGTAAGACTTTTGTTTTTTTTTTAGATTTCACGTATGAGTGATAACTGTGCAGCATATGTCTTTCCCTGTCTGCCTTATTTCACTTAGCATAGTGTCTTCCTGGTTAACCCATGTTGCTGCAAATGGCAGGATTTCCTTCTTTTTTATGGCTGGACAATATTCCATTGTGCACATGGACTACTTCTTCTTTATCCACTGTTCTGTCAATGTCCACGTGTTATTTCCATATCTTGGCTATTGTGAGTAACGCTGCAACAAACACAGGAGCGGAGATATCTCATCGAGGTGCTGATTTCCCCTCCTTCAGATACATACCCAGAAGTGAGATTATTGGATCGTATGGTAGTTCTATTTCTGAGTTTTTGAGGCTCTTCCATACTGTTTTCCATAGTGGTTGAACCAATTCACATCCCTTCTAACAGTGCAGGAGGGTTCCCTTTTCTCCACGTCCTCCCCGACTTTTGTTTTCTCTTGTCTTTTTGGTAACAGCCACCTGACAGCTAAGAGGTGATATCTCATTGTGGTTTTCATTTGCATTTCTCCGATGGTAAGAAATGTTGAACACCTTTTCAGGTACTGTTGGCCATTTGTGACTTCTTTGGGAAAATGTCTATTCAGGTTCTTTGCTCAGTTTTTAATTGAATTTTTGGGGCTTTTTTCCCCCTTGCTATTTGGTTGTATGAATTCCTTATATCTTCTAGCTATTAACTCCTTATCAGATAATGGTTTGCAAATGTTTTCTCCCATTACCTGTTCATTGCATTGATTGGTTTTTATTTATTTTTGTTGTTGTTGTTGTACAGAAGCTTTTTAGTTTGATGTAGTCCCCCTTGTTTGCTTTTGCTTTTGTTGCCTGTGTTTTGGGTGCCAGTTCCCAAAACAAACAAACAAAATCATTGCCAAGACCAATGTCAAAGAACTTTTCCCTCATGTTTTCTACTAAGAATGTTGTGCTTTCAAGTCTTACAATTAGTCTTTAATCCATTTTTGAGTCGATTTTTGTGGCTGATGTAAGATAAGGGTCCAATTTCATTCACGTGATTATCCAGTTTTACCAGCTCTTAATAAAGAGACTATCCTTTCCCTACTGGGTGTTCTTGGCTCCCTAGTCCAAGGTTATCTGACTAGCCCTGGCCGGGTGGTTCAGTTGGTTGGAGCATTATCCTGTACACCACAAGGTCTGATCCCTAGTCAGGGCACATTCCTAGGCTCAGGTTTGATTGTGCCCCCCGCCCCCCATCAGGGTGTGTGTGGGAGGCAACCAATCCGTGTTTCTCTCTCACAGTGCTGTTTCTTCTCTCTCACTTTCTCTTTATAAAATCAACTTTTAAAGAGTCTTTGAGTGAGGTTAAAAAGAAAAGATTACTAGATATGCATGAGTTTATTTCCGGGCTCTATTCTGCTCCATTGGTCTGTCTGTTTTTATGTCAGTGTGTTTTGATTAACATGGCTTTGTAATAGAAGTAGTTTAAATTAGGAAGTATGATGACTCTGGCTTTGTTCTTTCTCAAGATTGCTTTGGCTTTTCAGGGTCTTTAATATGATATACCACAATAACAGAATAAAAAGTATCTATCATCTCAATGGATACAGAAAAAGTATCTGACAGAATCCAACATCTATTCATGACAAAGACTCTCAACAGATTAGGTAGGGAAGGAATGTAGGTCAACATAATGAAGGCCCTATATGACAAGCCCATAGCTAAGGTCATACTCACATGTCAGCATACTGATCATATTACCGAAAGCTTAAAGCTTTGCCTCTAAGACAGGGAACAGGACAAGGATACCCACTCTTGCTGCTTCTGTTCAACATAGAACAGGAAATTCTGCCCAGAGCAATTAGGAAAGGAAAAGAAATAAAAGGCCTCCAAATGAGAAAGGAAGAAGTAAAATTGCCTCTGATTGCACATGACAGGATCTTATTATATACAGGAAACCCTAATGTCTTCACCAAAAAACTGTTCAGAAAAAAAAGATCAGTAACATTCCAGGATACAAAGTCAAAATACAAAATTAGTTGCCTTCCTATACACTAACAATGAACTATCTGGAAGAGCAATTAAGAAAGCAATCCTGTTTATATTAACATCAAACAGAATACAATGCCTAGGAATGAGTTTAAACAAGGAGAGAAAAGGTCTGTACATTGAAAATTATAAAACATCATGAAAGACATTGAAGAAGATATAATGAGTGCAAAGGTGTCCCGCTGTGGCATTGTGATTTAGAATGGGGAATATGTATTTGGTCTTCTGTACCGGTTCCAGCCCAGAGCTCGTAAAACCCTCGGGATTTCCTAAGCAGTGAGAGGGACAAAGCTGTCCTTTGTTATGTTAATAAGGTGGCTTCTGGTCACACCCTGGGACGGGAGCTGCTTGCCTGGTTGGAATTTTCAGTCTCCACCCCCACCCCACACCCAGGATGGATCAAACCAGTGGCCAAAGAGTTATTTAATTATACTTACGGAATTAAGCCTCCATAAAACTGTACATTAAGATAAAGTTGTATTTTGAAGTCAGTGAAGAAAAGACACGTTACTTAATAAGTGATGTCAGAACAACTAGCTAACCACCTATGATACACCAAACAAGTCTACATAAATTAAAGAATTAAATAAAAAGTTAAAATCATAAAATGAAAACTCTACAATTACTTGAAGGAAATATGGGCAATTAGTATTATAACCAATGAGAAGGCATTCTAAAAGTTTCAAAAAGAAGTTTTTCAGGATATGAATATACAATATGAGGAAATCAAAATAGATGTCTTCCATTGTTTTTCAAAGCCTATAGTTTTCATTTATATGAGTTGTATTGGTTCTGTTTTTCAAATAAAAATAGTGGGTTTTTAAACCCTCTTTTAAAAATAGTGGGTTTTTTTCCTTTTATTATGTCTTTAAAAAAATCTCTCTAAGAGTTTTAGGTATCCTTAGTTTTAGCATCTTTCTGATTTTTCTGACATCTTAATTTCTTGAAGGTTAAAGTTTTCTATTTCCTGTGCCTGCTGATTATCCCCCCTGCCAGGCCATTTCCTCGCTTAGTTTCCAAATTGTTTTCCTCAATTCATGTTTAATTGAGCTTGATTTTTTTCCCCATAAAAGTCCATGTTGCCTGGGTTGTAAAAATATTCCACAAAAAGTTTTGTGCTAGCTGTTGTTGGTTCTCTGGGGTTATAATTATTTCTCACCTCGAGATTCCTGCATCCTGTGGGTAGTCTCTGCTGCTGCTCAGTCCTGGGGTTTGAGTTTTTTACAGGAGATCCTTTTTCCTCACTTCGAGTGCCATGGAAGTGATCATCCCCCCAGCTCCTTTTGTGGGTTGGTGGTTTGTAGAGTTTTCCTAATACCCCCTTTATGGACTAACTCAGTTCCAAAATCCTAACACGAAGTAGGATGGCCCAAAGTCACATCTCCTCTCAAGGTATGGGCCTTAAAATCCTTCCCCCTGCCTGTACAGCCCATATCTTAGCCTCATATCCTCCAGGAAACCACACATTAGGGAATTTTTAGGCTTTGAGTTCCCTCTTCATTTCTGCTTATAGATTTTTCTTTTCTTTCTCTCCCTTTATCTTTCCCTCCTCTCCTTCTAGTTCGGTTAATTACTAAATAAAAATTTGTTTCCAGGATGCCATTTTCCCATCATCATTAATGTTTCATTATTGCTTTTGTAATAAATAAATGCTTGAAAAAAATGGGGGAAAGTATAGAATTTTATTTAAAAGCCATTGTCTGCTCTCTCTGATGGATTAATGGAGAACTGTACATTCTGAGTAGGAGAAAAAAAAGGGGGGGAAAGCCATTGTCTGGCTTTAAATAAACACTTGAGACTTCTGGCCAAGATGGAGGCATGGGTAGACACACTGTGCCTCCTCACACAAACGAAAAAAGGACAACAACAAATTTAAATACAAAAAACAGCCAGAACTGTCAGAAAATTGAACTCTATGGAAGTCCAACAAGCAAGGCGTTAAAGAAGAAACATTTATCCAGACCAGTAGGAGGAGCAGTGATGGGCAACCGGGCAGAGAGGCCTTGCAGTAAGGCCTTGGCTGCAGGACTTCGCAAGGCAGGGGATATGCAGATAAACCAGAAAGAACAACTGAAGAGCCAGACAGACCACACAACCCAGGGTCCCAGTGCAAGGAAATAAAGACTCAAACCTCTGATTGGAAACACCTATGGGAGTTGAGGCAGCAGTGGGAGAAACTCCTGCCTCACAGGAGAGTTTGCTAGAGAGACCTGCAGGGTCCTAGAACATGCACAAATGACTGGGAATCAGCACCAGAAAGGCCCAATTTGCTTGTGGGAAGCAGGGAAAGTGACTGAAATCTGGCAGAGAGCTGAGCAAGTGGTACTGTCCCCTCTCAGACCCTCCCTCACAAACAGCGCCACAATGCAGCCATGTGGGTTGCCCCACCCTGATGAATACCTAAGGCTCTGCCCCTTACTATGTAACAGGTGGGCTGAGACAAAAAAAAAAAAATGGCCCAAATGAAATAACAGATCAAAGCTCCAGAAAAAATATAACTAAGCAACGAAGACATAGCCAACCTATCAGACATATAGTTCAAAACACTGGTAATCAGGATGCACACAGAATTGGTTGAATATGGTTGCAAATTAGATGAAAAAATGAAGGCTATGCTAAGTGAAATAAAGGAAAATGTACAAGGAACCAACAGTGATGGGAAGGAAACTGAGACTCAGATCAAGGGTGTGAACCAGAAGGAAGAAAGAAACATTCAACTATAACAGAATGAAGAAACAAGAACTCAGAAAAATAAGGAGAGGCTTAGGAACCTCCAGGATATATTTAAACATTCCAACACCCAAATCCTAGGGGTACCAGAAGGAGAAGAGAAAGAGTAAGAAATTGAAAACTTATTTGAACAAATAATTAAAAAAAAATCTTCCCCAATCTGAAAAAGAAAACAGACTTCCAGGAAACCCAGGAAGTTCAGAGAGTCCCACAGAAGTTGGACCCAAGGAGGAACACACCAAGGCACATCATTATTAAGTTACCCAATATTAAAGAGAAGGAGAGAATTTTAAAAGCAGCAAGAGGAAAGGAGAGAGTTACCTACAAAGAAGTTCCCCTAAGACTGTCAGCTGATTTCTCAAAAGAAACCCTGCAGGCAAGAAGGGGCTGGAAAGAAGTATTCAAAGTTATGAAAGGCAAGCGCCTACATCCAGGATTGCTTTATCCAGCAAAGTTTTCATTTAGAACGAAGGGCAGATAAAGTGCTTCCCAGATAAGGTCAAGTTAAAGGAGTTCATCATCACCAAGGCCTTATTATATGAAATGTTAAAGGGGCTTACCTAAGAAAAAGAAGAAGATCAAAAATATGAACAGTGAAATGACAATAAACTCACAGCTATTAACAACCGAACCTAAAAAACAAACAAACAAACTAAGCAAACTACTAGAACAGGAACAGAATCATAGAAATGGAGATCACATGGAGGGTTATCAGTGGCGGAGTGGGAGGGGAAGAGAGGGAGAAAAGATACAGAGAATAAGTAACATAAATGGTAGGTAGAAAATAGACAGGGGGAGGTTAAGAATAGTATAGGAAATGGAGAAGCCAAAGAACTTATATGTATGGCCCATGGACATGAACTGAAGGAGGGGAATGTGGGTGGGAGGGGGTATGCAGGGCAGAGGGGAATAAAGGAGGAAAAATGGGACAACTGTAATAGCATAATCAATAAAATATATTTTTTTAAAAAGTACAATTGGTTGGTACAGAGTAGGCTGGGGGATGTACAGGACAGTACAGGAAGTGGAGTAGCCAAAGAATGTATATGCATAATCCATGGACATGAACTAAGAAGGGGGATTTCTGGAGGGCATGGGTGGTACTCGGTGGAGGGGGGCAGAGGAGGACAATTTGGACAACTGCAATAGCATAATTAGTAAAATATATTAAAAAGCAAAAAAACCCCACACTTGAAATAACGATAATAATCCAAACCTTATTTTCCTCACTTGTAAAATGAGGATTATAGTCTAGCCCATTAGGGTTGTTATAAAAATTAAATTTAAAAATGTACAGCCTGCGAACCAGACAATCGCTGTTCGATTCCCAGTCAGGGCACATGCCAGGGTTGCAGGCAGGTTCCCTGCAGGCCAGTTCCCAGCAGGGGATGCACGAAAGGCAACCATACATTGATGTTTCTCTCCCTCTCTCTTTGCCTTCCCCTCTAAAGATAAATAAATAAAATCTTAAAAAAAATGTACAAAAAACCATTGAATACAGAGCCTCACACATTGTGAGTGCTCAATAATAAGAAGCTAATACTGTTATAAGTGGAATGCCAGCCACTATGGAAACCAAAGACACATCGAAGACTATATTTCACTTTCGAAGTAAACAAAAACATCTTTTTTTGATGTTTCCCAATAAAAATAAACTTACCTTTTCCGTGAGGTATGACCTTCACTTGTAGAGTCTGAGATTTCCCCAGGTCAACGTATTTCAGGACATTGAGGGATAGCGAATCATCATGTTGCTGAAACCAGTAATTACATGGTTTTGCAAATATCTCCCATGCCCGTCCATTCTTTTGCCCGAAGTCATATAGGAACCAGGAGTCTTTTACGAAAGTCGCACCGATGGGTACTATTCTAGGCATGGTCGCCTTAGCTAATGCGTTCTGACCATCCACGATGCTTATGATAAGGAAGCTGCTGTAACCGGGAATCACCACTGTCTTCTCCACGTCCGAATCTTTAAATGAGGAAGCCACACCTGGAGCTAAAAGGGGAATGATTCAGTATGAAATAAAACAGCCAACGTTCTCCAAGCAGACTGGTGGACTTCATCCGTGAACACACTGTTGGAGTTTTTAAACTATGGTCTTAACCATTAAACACATTTGCCGGACTTCAGGTTATGCATCAAATTAATTTATAGAAAGTGTGTCATGAATATGTCAAGCAAAGACCTGTACTTTATACCCTTTCCTATGAAATGAATTCTATAAAATTATTAGCAGGAAAAAAAACCATGTAGGGATTATAAGAAAGCTAATTTCTTTACTATAAAACTGACAAGAGCCTTAATAGCCTAGAGTCTTTATCATGATTCTTCAAGAGAAGGGTAAAGTAGCCAGTGATTCCCCATTCCCTAAAGTCTGCCTACACCACAGAAGGTGCTAGAAAAATATTTGTTGAAGGCATGAATAATGGATTGTTTAAGGACAGCATGAGATTTAGGAGAAAAGAGCCCCTAGGGCAGAACCATAAGGAACCCCACTGGAGAAGGCATGGAAAAACTCCACAAAGCAGACAAAGAAGAAATGAATGGAGAAAAGTCACCAGAGCACATGAGAGAAGTCAAAAGAAGGCTGTTTCAAGGGGAGGGTGGGGATCATTTGCAAACATTTTTTTTTTCTTTTATCATCAAATGTTTTTGATGGGTCATAGAACATAACAATTCTTGCCTCATTCTGAAAAAATAAATAGAAGTAGTCAGAAAAGAACCTCATAACTCCCTCTATTGTGCACACATCCTCTAATTTATCCCATTTACGTATATCAATAAAATCCTTTCCTACCTACTCCCAAGGGCCACGTAAGTTCATTCTCTCCCTCCCTTTCTAGTGAAATTCCCAGAGTTGCCCTGTTCATGGTCTTCACCTCCTCTCCTAAATGTTTGAATTTAATCCAATTACACTTTGGGCTGTATTACTCCACCCAACAGCAGCTTTTGTCCAAGTTACCAATGACTTTCACACAGACCCACTGGCCAGTTTTCTTTCCTCATTTTACCTGAGCTATTGGTGCATCTATACATCTTCCCTCAGTTCTCCTCTGAGCAGAACTTCCAACCTCCTTCCCAACGTTTCCCCATCTCCTGGACCACTGATTTTTAGGCCACCAGGGACAGGACCTGAGACCTTTCCTTTTTGACACCTACAGCCATTTGCCATGTCTCAGCTGGTTTCATAGTGCTGACTGCTCTGATTTACCTCTCTAGTTCAGGTGTTTTCCCTGAATGCCAGACTCGTCTTTCTTAATATGCACCTTATTTCTCTGCTTGGATGAGTAACAGCATCTTGAATTGAATGCGACCCCTCACCTGAGCATTGTAATAGCCTCCCCATTTCTCTGCTTTTCTTCTTGCCCTTTTTCCATCACTCACCCAGTCCATTCTCAACACAGCGGCCAATGGGATCTTGTTAAACCTTAAGTCCAGTCAGGTCACTTTCTGCTCATAACCCTCCAATGGCTTCTTGTTTACTCAGAATAAAACCCAAATTCTCCCATCCAAGTACTAACCAGGCCCGACCCTGCTTAGCTTCCGAGATCAGACGAGATCGGGCACGTTCAGGGTGGTATGGCCGTAGACAAACCCAAATTCTTACAATAAATTATACCAAGTTTTGATATATATCTATTATAGAATCCTTTGAAATAGAAACATCCTACAAAACTGTACTTGAACAACAATTAAATAAATAAATTAAAAAAAAGAAATATCCTACATAATAGCGATTCAACATCATTTTATTATGCAGGGTGAAGCATGCATAGACTTTCCATTTCCTGTGATTTCTCCTGAATATTGTTTCATACAAAACTAACATCATAGGAATGAATAAGAGGTACTACTATTGATGGAATATCAATGACATTATAGCTAGGTTTTATTATATTAGAAATACAAAATTCCTCCAAAACCCTAAGTAGATGAATACTTCTGTAGATTGGACTAAATTTTAAAATCTACTGTTGTATAAATGAGCATGGACAACCTTCTCAAAAGACAATTCTTCATTTTTATTAGCCATAAGAGCTATGGTTTATCATTACACTTACTTTGTGATTGAAGAGTAAGTTTAAAGAAATCTTGGTCTGTAGTGATGGAAAGGGAACTAGACAAACAGGGGCTTTTATTCACATCTTCTATTCCAAAAGGTTCTATTACTTCAGCAATAACCGCAGACAAAAATCCTTCAGAAATGCTATGTTGAAATGTCTTTCTAATGTAAGCCTTTCCACTATTCCTAAACAAACCAACACACGTTAAGGAATTTGGATAAAACTGTCGCTTAAATGAGCAAGTTTATGAACATACAAGTTACAAACAAAGTGGACCACACAAATGGATAACAAATGAACATTTGATTCATTTGTTACATTCTTCATTCAGAATTTGAACATTCTTCAGCCTCATTAGGTAATTAATAAAACATCAGTTATAGCAACAGGATATAATTTTTCACCTATTAAATTAACAAAGATTTTTTTAAAAATATTTTATTTATTTATCTTTAGAGGGGAAGGGAAGGAGAGAGAAAGAGAAACATCAATGTATGGTTGCCTTTCATGCATCCCCTGCTGGAAACCGGCCTGCAGGGAACTGGTCTGCAACCCAGGCAATGTGCCCTGACTGGGAATCGAACCTCGATTGTCTGGTTCGCAGGCCCGCGCTCAATCCACTGAGCTACACCAGCCAGGGCCAAATTAACAAAGATTTTTAAATGACAGGGTTCAGGAATGATTAAGAACTGAGTGGAGAAAGGCACTCATCCGCTACTGATGGGGATTATTGACTGACACAAACGTCCCAGAAAGCAATCTGATGTTACTCAATAAAAGCTATAGCCCTATGTGTCCCATTTGATTCCGTCAGCCTACTGATAAGGCTCTGTCCTAAGGAAGTAACCTGAAACATGCGGGTGTGGGGGGAGGGATCTCTCTGCAGAAAGGTGTCTGTCACAGCATTGTGAGGCAAGTCAGAAAGAATTGCCAACAATAGGAAAATTAAGTAGATATGAATACATGATCTACTTAGCCAAAAATGCAACTATTAACATGACATTTGACAGAGAGTTTTTAATTGCACAGAGAAAATGGTCATATTACAACGTCTAAATGAAAGAAGCCCAGTGGGGAAGCAAAGCTAATTCAACCCCAGGGGCAGAGGCAAAGGAACGTTACAGGTGAGGGGAGGATAAGATAACGACTGGCTAGCCCTGAAGGGGGTCAGGATGCTGTCGGGACCCTAAAATCCTAAGAGAATGGAGTAGCATCGTGGTCCTGCGAGAAGAGCAAGAAATGCCCAATGAACATCTACCTGCAGATGTAAGACAGGATTGGCTGCAAGGGGCTATTTCTTTTTTTTAATTTTTATATTCAAACCTCTTTATCAGTTTTTATGGAGTGGTACATATGCACCACATTCCAGTTCAGAAGTTTCCATATTATTTTCATAGAAAACTAAGTTTGAAAACAGCATTTGAACACAGCATGGTATTCTACCACAACCGAAACTTTTTTCAGAGTGTACGTAGTCCTTACAGGACTCAACAAAATCAGAAAGTGAACCAGGATGTAGATTTACTTCCTGTGAAGACTTTTATGTTATCTCTGAAAATGAAAAGGATGGCTTTTAAAAGCCCATTTCACTGTTTTATACTATTATGGCAACTTGGATACTGCAACACAGTCTATCTTGAGGGAAATTTAAGATTTTTTCCATGTAAAAGTCTGCACAGATTAGTTATTTCTATTAACAGTTGTCTTTTTTTTCGTTAATGAACCTGACATGCTGAATCTCACATTTTTTTATCATTTAAAAAAATATATTTTATTAATTATGCCATTACAGTTGTTCTATTCCCCTCTTCATTCCCCTCCACCCTGCACACCCCCTTCCCCACTATTCCCCCCTTTAGTTTATGACCACATGTCTCAAGTTATTTAGATTCTATATTTCCCATACTATTCTTGCCCTCCCCCCATTTTCTACCTACCATCTATGCTACTTATTTTCTGTACCTTCTCCCCCCTTCTCCTCCTCCCACTCCCCTGTTGCTAACCCTCCATGTGACCTTCATTTCTATGGTTCTGCTTCTGATCTAGCTGTCCTCTTAATTTGCTTTTGTTTTAGGTGTGGTGGTTAATAACTGTGAGTTTGCTGTCCTTTCACTGTTCATCTTTTTTATCTTCTTTTTCTTAGGTAAGTCCCTTTAACATTTCATATAATAAGGGCTTGGTGATGATGAACTTCTTGAATTTGATCTTATCTGAGAAGCGCTTTATCTGCCCTTCCATTCTAAATGAAAGCTTTGCTGGACAGATCAATCTTGGATGTAGGTCTTTGGATTTCATGACTTGGAATACTTCTTTCCAGCCCCTTCTTGCCTGTAAGGTCTCTTTTGAGAAATCAGCTGACAGTCTGATGGGAACTCCTTTGTAGGTGACTGTCCCCTTATCTCTTGCTGCTTCTAGGATTCTCTCCTTCATTTTAATCTTGGCTAATGTAATTATGATGTGTCTTGGTGTGTTCCTTCTTGGGTCCAAATTCTTTGAGACTCTCTGAGCTTCCTGGATTTCCTGGAAGTCTATTTCCTTTGCCAGATTGGGGAAATTCTCCTTTATTATTTGTTCAAATAAGGTTTCCACTCGTAACTGTTCCTCTTCCCCTTCTGGTACCCCTATAATTCAGATGTTGGAACGTTTAAAGATGTCCTGAAGGTTCCTAAGTCTCTCTTCATTTTTTTGAATTCTTGTTTCTTCATCCTTTTCTGTTTGGTCATTTTTTTCCTCCTTCAGGTCCACTCCTTTGATTTGTGTCCCAGTTTCCTTTCCATTACTATTGATTTCCTGTGTATTTCCCTTTGTTTCAATTAGTTTAGCCTTCATATGTTCCTCTAATTTGTGACTAAAATCAACCAGTTCTGTGAGCATCCTGATCACCAGTGTTTTGTACTGTGCATCTGAAAGTTTAACTATTTCTTCATCACTTAGATTTATCGGCTCTGAGTTGTTCTTGAGCCATGTTTTGATCTGTTCGTGCCTGTTACATAAGAGGAGAGGAGACTTAGTTGTTCATCAGGGCGGGGCCACCCAGGTCGCTGGTTTGTGACGTTGTATGTGGGGGCGGGGTCAGAGAGGGACAATGGTGGTTCCCTCTGCCGCTTCCTGCCACTGTGGCCTGTGCGGTCCAACTCACTGCTAGCTCCTTTGCTGGTTTATCTGTGCGAGAATGTGTGACCACGATCAGCCCTCGGTGGGTCCGCCCACTTCTCCGCACCTGGGATCTGCCCACGGCTGCTGGCGCATCTGGGTCACGGGCCCGGGTTGGTCCAGTGGATCTTTCCTGACCGACCCCGCTCTGCTGCTGGCTCTGCCCCTCTTACCGGTCTGGCTGAAGGGTTTGTTTGGCTGAACAGACTTCCGTGTAGTTCAATTTTCTGTGGTTTGGCTGCGTTTTTGTTGCTAAAACTTTGTTGTTTTTAAACTTAATTGTGCGAGAAGGCCCAATGCTTACACCTATGCCTCCATCTTGGTGGAAGTCCTGAATCTCACATTTAAATGCAAGAACAAAGGCCAAGAAAAACCAAGAGGGGGCACTGTTAATGTGTCATATATTTAGAGAAATGCAGTATGACCTAAGGCAGATAAATACCAGCAATGAACTAGAAGAGGGACCAGAAATGGACCACTTCGTATATGGAACTATGATATTCCACAGGATAACCTTGTGGATCAGTGGGGACCCACAGGGCAATTGATTACCTACCGATATATCGAGAAATAAATCATATTCTCATTTCACACTACATATATTAATTCCAGATGAATTAAAAACTTAAAAATAAATAGAAAAAGTTTGAAACCACTACCAGACACCATGGGAGAATAGTTAAATAAGTTGTGGTATCTTCACAAGAGTGAATCAGATACATATATCAATATCAAGTAATTTATGAAATATATGAAAAATTAAAAAGCATAGCACATTAAAAAAGGCAAATCACAGGAGAAGGTCGACAAAGCTAAAGAATTCATTTAGCAAAGCTAAATACATTATGATATACATGTGTGTGTAGAAGCTATAAAGAAAAAAATGTTCACACGAAACTCAAGACAATGCTTGTTTCTGGGGGACAGGTGTAGCCGTGGGGTGTGGGGAAAGGAAATCCACCCAGAATGACGCCGAAGGGAAAAGGGACCCAGAAGAACCCGGACTCCCAGATGTGTGGCAGTGATGGGGCAGTTTGGTCGTCACCAGTTCCAAGAGTGGCACTGTCCTCTTCAAAGGATTCTGGAGGTCTCCATCAGAAGGAGCTCCTGCCCCCTTTTTTCACCTCCCTTCTTTCATCCAAACTAGCAGGGCTAGGAACCTCAGCTATGACAGAGGAGGGCATGGACAAGAAGAAAATTAGAATGAGAGACATTCCACCTCCCCACACTCCCAGCTTCCCAATTTGGGTCAGGTTCCAGATAGAGTTTGGGAAACAAATTTAAATTGGTTAAGAGTGTCCAGTTTTTTTTAAACACTAGACAGAGATGTTGTCATGTGATTATTACTCTTTTAAGTCAAGGAAATATTCATTTATTTTCTGAGAGAAAAGTTACGGTTCTCGCCTGATACTTCGTCTTGAGGTAGAAAGGAAGTAAGTCCACAGAGGGGATTTTGGAAGACACAGGAGAAGGAAAAACAAAGTTGGTTTTTCCAGCGTATTCAGTAGACAAGTTAGTTACACATCAATTGGCCCAGTTACTCACCTGCTTCAAGGCCTTCAGGGCTTCCTCCTCTCTTAGACTAACATCCAGATTCCTCACTGGGGCTCCGAAGGCCCTGCCTGACTTTGCTCCACTGTCCTGAATGACTTTCCCCCTTAGTCCATGACACTGAGGTCTCCAGGTTGGTTTTTGTTGTTCGATTTCACAAACACATACCAAGCTCCTTGTGGCTGGGGGCCTTTTACATGCTGTGCTCTCAAATCTGGAACCTCCCCCCACCCCCGTTCCTCATTCTTCCATCTTGTTATGAGCATCCCTGTCCTGAGAACCTTCCCAGAGCTTCCAACAGGGCTCAATGCCCAGGAAAATGCTCTCTCAATGCTCCATGCTTTTCTGTTGTAGACTTTTTTAATTTTAACCTCTCCCTGTCTAGTTAATGCCCACAAAAATTATGCTTCTTCTTCCTTGTACCTTTCTCCCTTGTTCCTCCCTTCCCCCTCCCCATGGAAACCCTCCATGTGATGTCCATTGCTCTGGTTCTATTCCTGTTCTAGTTGTTTGCTTAGTTTTTGTTTTCATTGTTTTTCTTTCTTTTACTTTCTTTTAGGTTCAGTTGTTGATAGTTTTGAGTTTATTGTCATTTTAATGTTCATATTTTTGATCTTCCTCTTTTTCTTAGATAAGTCCCTTTAACATTTCATAAAATAAGGGCTTGGTGATAATGAACTCCTTGAACTTGACCTTATCTGAGAAGCACTTTATCTGCCCTTCCATTCTAAATGAAAGCTTTGCTGGATAGAGCAATCTGGGATAGAGCAATCTGGGAAAGTCCCTGCCTTTCATGACTCCAGATCTTTCTTTCCAGCCTCTTCTTGCCCACAAGGTTTCTTTTGAGAAATCAGCTGGTGGCCTATGGGCGCTCCTTTGTAGGTGAGTCTCTCCTTTCCTCTTGCTGTTTTTAAGATATTCTCCTTATCTTTAATATTGGGTAACTTAATGATGATGTGCTTTGGTGTGTTCCTCTTTGGGTCCAGCTTCTTTGGGATTCTCTGGGCTTCTTGGACTTCCTGGAAGTCTATTTCCTTTGCCAGAGTGGGGAAATTTTCCTTCATTATTTGTTCAAATAAGTTTCAATTTCTTGCTGTTCTTCTTCTCCTTCTGGCACCCCTATGATTCGAATATTGGAATGTTTCAAGTTGTCTGAGAGGTTCAAAAGTCTCTTTTCATTTTTTTGGATTCTTGCTTCTTCACTCTGTTCCAGTTGGATGTTTATTTCTTTCTTCTGTTCCAAATTGTTGATTTTAGTTCTGGTTTCCTTCCCTTCGCTGTTGGCTCCCTGAATATTTTGCTTTATCTAATTTTGGGTATCTTTCATTTTTCGACCAACCTCAATCTGTGAGCATTTTGATTCCCAGGGCTTTAAATTCTCCATCAGAAAGGCGGGCTATCTCCCCATCACTTAGCTCTCTTTCTGAAGTTTTGCTCTGTCCTTTCGTTTTGACTATTATTTCTTTGTTCAGGCCCCTGTTAAGTTGTAAGGGGGCAGGGCAACCCTCCTTGCTGCAGTGCTGCCTGTGAGGGAGGGGCCGGAGAGGGAACAGTGAAGCTCCCCTGCTCGTCTCTAGCCTACTTTCCAACGAACTCTTGTGTGAGACTGGGTTTTTTTCCACCATGGTAACCGCTGTAGTCCAAAGCCAGCTCTGAGGCTCAGTTTCCCTTTAAGTCAGCCCCGCCTGTGTGCCACAGTCAGGCCCCCTGTTGTAGACTTATGTCAACTGTAATTACCTTCTTGCCTACTTCCTGTGCTAGAATACAAGTTCGAGGGATCTCTTCCTCATGGCTCTATCACAGCACCAACCACAGTGCCTTTGTGGATGAGTGCTCAGTAATTACTCACGGAAGAGATGAATGAATGGCTCACTGTGCTTTACCCCCTGATTATCTAGCTCTCTGCCTTTGGCCTAGTGCTGGCCTCAAAATTTCGGGCTCCCAGATCCTTGAGGGCCCAGCTGATGTTCCGATCACCCCAGTTCTTTGACCTTGGTTCTTTTATATCCTGCCTTGGGAATGCCTGCCCCCCTGCCAGCAAAGCGACTGCATCTGATCACAAGAATGTGCTGTTCTGGTTTCCAAATATTCTGATCTTTAAGATAATTTTTATAGATTAGGTTACAAGAAACTCAGGTTAACATTGAGATCATAGGAGCACATTAACTTTTTAAAAAGTGATTCTACATTCCCTGTAGGGGCATGCCCACAGTGTCAACATGCATGAACTGACCTGGAATGCCACACAGATAAAAGCCACTGAAAACAAAAGAGATTGTGGGTGCTCTTCTCAGAGACGGAAAGTTCTGCAAGCCTCGTGGGAAAACACTACTGCCGGCATTTGGGCGTGGGGTGCTGGCTGCGGGGCCAGGTGTGTGCGGACAAACCAGTTCCCGTGGACTAAACAGACTTCTGCCCGGGTGGAAGAGTGCCCCCCACATTTGGGATAGGGCGAGTTTTTGGTAATCTGAAATTGTTCCTTTTCTGGTTGTTAGTTTTGGGGGGGTTACAGAATTCATAATGCTCTTCAAAGACAGTATTTAGGCCTTAAAGAGGACTTTAAAGGTCACTGGCTCTTGCCAGTATCTTAGAAGTAAGTGCGCCTGAGAATTCCATGTACCTGGTCCTGTAGTATTTCATGCAAGACGGCCTTTGCCACGTTAGCTGTGTTTGTTTTTAGGACATAGGAGAACATTGTGGAGAAGGAGTATCCAGCCTGGCCTTGAACATTTTATACTCCAGGTGCTAAATGCGCACGTCTATAGCTTGGCCTCCTGGTGCCAATATAACTGGCTCCCAGTCTCTGAAACTGTGGTATCATGCAAGGTACCTTGGAGTCTACCAATATATTTGGCCTTGTGAGGTGTCAAAAAAAAAAAAAAAAGACTCACTCTATTTGAGCAAGAAAATGACTCAGAAAAGTAGGCTCAAAACTGAGAGCCCAGAAACCAGTGTGCAATCTAAATAAATGTGACGCACTAGCTACCTGGAGTGTATCACTTTTCCAGAGTGAATGTTGCTGAATTTCTTGGTATATACTTTCTCCTTTGGCTCATTGGCGGGCACGTAGGCATAGAAGATCATTTCCTTCGTGGAGATGTACTGTGGGGCCAGTGCGGTCTCAAAGCCCATGTCGGGAGCCTGGAGTGGGGAAAAAAATATTGCATGTAAACCATTTTATACTTCAACGATGATAAAGTGTAGATTACAGATTTGTTTCCAGTCCTCACCCATAGGAATACTATCTCAGCAGGTGCTGTGTGAATATGCGTGTGCGTGCAAGGAAAACGTCTGAGGAGTAAGGTTTCCTGTCAGTGTCCCGTGCCCTGCCCTGACCGTGCCGCTCGGCCGCTTTGCATCGTTCTGCCGGGGCACACGCCCAGGTTGCGGGTTCATTACCTGGTCAGGGCATATACCAGAGGCGACCAACTGATGTTTCTCTCTCACATGGACATTTCTCTCCCTCTCTTTTTCCTTCCCTCCCCCTCTCTCTAAAAATAAATTTAAAAATCTAAAAAAAAAAAAAAGAAAGAAAGAAAAGAAGGGTTCCCCTGCTGTTTGTAGAAGGCTGGAGCTGGAGGGTGTACAGAGACTCAAGTGTTCCCCATTGTGTGCACAGGACGAATCTGGAGGTGCGGATTTTAAACTTCGTTCTTAGAGTTTTATTTCCGACAGGCGCTGGAAAGTACCTCTCTTCCCTTGCAAGTTGCCGCTCCTGGTCCCATGCTGGTGACGTTGCACAGCTACTGTCCGAGTCGCCGACTCCGGTGGCAGGTGCCATTCTCACTTGCGCCGGGTTGTGAGGTTTTCCCTCATGGTCAGCATGGGCACCCTCTGCCCGGCTCTCTGACCCAGAGGGCCCTCTATTTGACGCACCGCTCTCCGATCCCAATCCTGTCAAGTTGGGAACTTTTAGGGGGTGAGAGGAGAGGTGGAGCCCGGCCTCCAGGAGGCTGCTGGAGCCAACCTTGTTTCTAGACGCTAGGAGTGGTACACAGCAGGGGCTGGTCCGGGGCCCAGCCGCCAGAGAATTCCTCCACCTCCAGCTTTCTGTTATGCTTTTCACGATTTAAATTTGGGAACTCGCTGGGAAGGGGAGAGAGTGGGAAACAGATGCCGGGGGAATCAGCATGGGACTGAACAGATGGCTTAGGGACTCTGAAAAGGACGAAAGGGCCTCCGAATTAATTCTGTAGGACATTCTAGCCTGGGCGTGCCAAGAAGGTCCCACGAAAAGTGTGTGCAAGACGGTGAAAGGCAGCGTGGTGATGACTAAAAGCACAGGCCCTGGCACCAGCGGCCTGGATGGACTCCAGTTCCCATCGCTGACCAGTGGGAGACGGCGTGGGGTAACCGATTTAGTCTAGCTGCACCTCGCTTCCTCGTGGGTAAAATGAAGGTCCCTGGGTGTCCTCAACAGCAGTGCCCGGCGTGCAACAAGGCCGAATAAAGTGGTTGTTTTTTTATCCAGGTGGGTTTGTTTGCAGGGAGGGAGGTGACAACATCGAGTGTGAGTTCCTTGAACTCATCCTGAGTATAAAAACGCCTCTTGGCATTTGATTTGTATGGTTTAAACTTTCACAGAAGAGAAGTAGGACGTTTTCTACAAACTGCGAAGGTCGCGGAGCAAACTGCTGTTTTGGTTCGTTCCACCCGCCATTCTCGTCATTGGACTGGCATCTATGCACTGCCCGCCCCGCAGACTGGCAGATGCTTGGGGGTCACTCTCTCCCAACACCTCGGACAGGAAACTAAAACACCATCCTTTTTTTCTTACTAAGTTTTTATTTTTCAATCACAGTTGACATACAATAGTCTATTAGTTTCAGGTGTACAACCCAGTGATTAGACATTTACACAACTCGCAAAGTGATCGCCCTGATGAGTCTAGAACCCGCCCGACACCATACAGAGTCATCCCAATATTACCGTGTTCCCTGTGCTGTACTTCGCGTCCCCGCGACTGCTGTGTGACTGCCAGTCTGCACTCCTTCACCCCTTCACCCTTCCACCCAGCCCCCAGCCCCTCTCCCATCTGGGGACCATCAAAATGTTCTCTGTATCTGTGAGTCTGTTTCTGTTCTGCTTGTTTGTTTATTTTGTTTTGAGATTCCACCTAGAAGTGAAACCACATGGCATTTGTCTTCCTCTGTGGGACTTATTTCTCGCGGCCCAACACCCTCGTTGCAGATTGAAACGCCCTCTTGGCCTGGAGGTTTGAGATGCTCTACCACAGGCAGAGTCACCCTTTATCCTCCTTCCTTTGGGCAGGTTTTATTAACCCCCAGTCAGAAAATCCCTTTGGTGCTTCGCCTTTGTGTTGATGAGAGCTCACGTTCATGGCTGTGTGCCTTCACATTAAACATGGAGATTATTACAACGATCTGTATGTAATATCAACCGTGAAAAAGACAATAAATCCTTCCTATGTTAGCACTAGAAAAGGAAGAAATGAGGGGACAGGGCTAATGTAAACAAGGGCAAATCAACAGGAAACGCAGAACTGGTGTTTGCTCAAGGTCAATCTTGAGAGGTATAAAGTCCAACCTTCCGTGAACCTGGGTGGGCAGGAAAGGATCCAGCTTAGACTATCTATGTGGTGGCGTTTTGTGGTGAAGATATTTGTGTGAAGCTACTCAGGGTGGAATTAAATCTGTACGACCCTGAATGAGGCTCGAGAGGTTTGGGAGATGTTTTCTGGAGCATGGAGCTTTTTCCTTCAGTTATATAGAGCAAACTGCATTACTAAGAGTTTGTCCCAAAGAACATACTTTCCCATTTTCCCGTTCTGTGCATAGAATGTGGCATTTCCTTTTAACACAAGGCAAACTGCTGACATGCATTCCATCACTGACCTGGCCAAAAATAACTTTAGAATTTCCAAGGGCGGCATGTGGCCCACCGGCTACAGAATCATCTGGAGTCAGTTTATGTATGAATCCCATGTGGTCATAGTACAACGTGAAAATTTTATCAGTAATAGATCCAATGTCACTGTATGTTTCTAATCCTGTTAGGAAAGAGACAAAAGGCTCTTGGTATTGATCTCATGCAACTAGAGAACTTTTAATAACACACTTGTAAAAACTCCTCATTTAAACTAAGGTCTGGGCATAGATCTCTGAGACTCCGAGACCCCGGAATTAGTCAAGTACACACTAGCCTTTGCTAAGGCCCTAGGAAGTCATTCCCAGCCTCCGTGTCCTTACAGAACCCATTCGCTGAAGTAGGTGAATGACGGATAGAGTGAGCAGGTGTTAAAGACGGCTGGAAGAGGTTAGCTCCTCCAGTTGTGGGGTCTCTTCCTAATACCCGGGCGTCAGATTCTTAAACAGGCAGGAGGCAATGAGAAAATAACCCTCTAGATGGCAAAGGGAATTATTGTCGAGACCCCTGGAGCATAAGCCAAATTAGACGATGTTCCAAATCTGGTAACCTGGGTTTCTCTCCTGCCCTAGGGTGAGACGTTAAGAGGCTCTGGGAGGAGTCTGGTAGGACCTCAGCATCCACTTAACCAGACACAGACCCAGGGAAGGCGAGAGCTGCCTGTGTGGAGGATGCAGCCGGAACGAACGTTCCGGTCTCAGGAGGAACCCGGCTAATTTCCACAGCCCACCCCCAGCTTTTCCAAGCTGGACTGGGCTCTCCTGAGAGGTCCACCCTTGGGTCCCAGACCCCTGAATGCTGGAGGGTCCTAGTTCTCAGAGCTTATATCTCTTCTCTGGCTGTTTCTGCAGGACTCATCCAGTTTTAGGGTTTAAAATCCATTTTTAGGAGGGGGGCTCCTGAACTTAAACCTCCCATCTGGTTCTCTTCTATGAAGTCCAAGTTTGCATCTAACCGACAGCTCACCGACAGCTCCGGATCCCCACCAGGCAGGCGTCTCGAGCTGGATTCCCCCCAAACCAAACTCCTAACCCTCCTGCAAGCCTCCCTCATCCCGAGGCCCTCACTTCCATGGTCAGCATTACCCCTGTTGCTCAGTCTGGAAACCCTGGGCTTGTTTTTGATCCCTCTGACACCCTGTAGCTAATCCGTCAGCAAAGTCTGTCGACTTCAGCCTCAGAGTATCCGTGGAACTCAGCCGCTCCTCACCACTCTCACTACTGTGCAAGCCAACATGACATAAAAAAGGAAGCAGTGTATTACGAGGGATTAGCCCATGCGATTGTGGAGGCTGAGAAGTCCTATGACCTGTCATCGCAAGCTGGAGAGCCACAGGCCTGAGCACCAGGGGGAGCCTGAGAAGTGGGGGGGTGGGGAGGGCACTAAGGCAAGCCCCCCTTCAAGGGCAGGAGACCAACGCCCCAGGTCAAGCCGACAGGCAGAAAGCAAAGGGGGTGACTTCCTCTTCCCTCTGCCGTTTGGTCCTACTCAGGCCCCCAAAGGCCTAGACGATGCCCACCCCCACCCAGCAGGCTCTCCGTTCCACTGAGTCCACCCGTGCAAATGCTCCTATTGTCCAGAAACCCCCTCTCAGACACACCCAGAAGTCATGTTTAATCTGAGAGCTTCTTGGACCTGTCAAGCTGACACATAAAATTAACCATAAAAATTGCTAAGGTTCAATATGCCATATGTCATCTATAAACGTAAGTTATATTTTTTCCTACATGTTAATGTCTTGTGAATGTTTTATAATTGATGTTCTACAGGTACTTTCCAGAAGGTGGCGCTCAAGCCACAGTGGTCGAGTTCCTATTTGTACCTCAGCTCTTTTACACGGTTGTCACTTTCAGTTTCTGGAATCACTGGCATAATGCACAGTTGAGTTTTTATCGCTGCTTAAAATGCCTTAAAAACATTACATTATAATTTGACATCGAATCAGTTACTGTGGGTGCAGCACAAGGGGGAAACCAAGCAAGGCCAACATTCGCCAATAAAGCAAAATGGGCCTGGGAAGAAACACCACAATTCTACATTTTCTTGTAGAACCACCACCCAGTCCTATATGGGACCTAAGAAAGGTGGAAACTCACAAGCAGATGGAATTGCATTATGTTTTACTACGGAGATGACATGCAAAATCGCCTGATCCTGTACCCAGCAACGCAACTCCAGGCGGGGGAAACAATGTACAGCTATCCATGCATCTCCCAGCATCACTGTTAAAACTCTGCGGCACAGCTTAACCAGAATCGTTTTTCATTCTCTTTGTTAACCGGGTGTGTCTCACAGCGAATGAGCCTCAGGTTTGACGAACTGTAATGTTTATAATGCTCTCATGGTGGCTTTGCATATAGGTAACCAGTCGAGGCAGCTGCAGAGTGTCAGGTAACACTATTTGTCTCTGAAGGTTCTTTAGGTAAATGTGTGCTGGTCGCCGTTGCAGCAGAAAAATCCAAGTCTGGCCTGATTGTTTCGTGCCTTTAAAATTCACTTACCTTTTCGATTTTAAATTGCTCGGAAGTGTTTTTGCTTTTAGTTTTTAAAAAAGTAATGTTTATAATCAGTTTTGGTTTTCTTTGCTTTTATTTTCAGTATTTATTCACTTAAGACTCATGTAGATAAAACAGAGAGGCACAGAGCTGCCTCCTCTGTGCAGCGCTGGATATTCCTAAACCTTGCAAGTTTCTTGATCTTTAGTTTCTGTATCTGTCATTTTAGAGTCTTTCTACCCACTGGTATTTCATTCTGTGCATGGCCATGTTTCCATGGTTTATATCTAAAAATTTTTTAAAGTTTAGAACTTAGATTGCCAATTTCATTTTGTTTTCTTAGGTGTTAATTATTTTTTCTGTTTCCAAAGTCATCTTGCTTAGTCTGTTTTGATTTTTGTTCCACAAGAAGCCCTGGTCCATGCTCAGGAGCTCTCTCTCTCTCTCCCTCCTTCCCCCCAATCCAGTGCACCGGCAGGCTGACTCCCAGGGGCCAGACACTGGTGCTCTGTTTCCAGTGGGCTTGTGGTTGGGTTTGACAAGTGAAAGGCACTAACAGGAGATATGAACAAGGGAAGGAGAGAGAAGACTGTTTGTCTACCTACCTGCCTATTATCCATTTATCTGCAGTAGCCCTTTAATCAAAGGGCCTGTAATGAATTTCCTCCATTGCTAGTATTTGGATATTTTACGGTCATTGTTGGTTCTTTTAACTGTCCACTGCTCTTCAGGGGAAACACTTGAGTGGAATTATGTTTCCAACCAGAACCACAACTGATACAGTGCTCTTATCAGAAATGTCCCTGGAAAGCAGAATATCAAGGCAGGATTCTGGGACTGGGTTGCTCACACATTTAAGGAACGCGCAGGTGACCTACCTCTGGTAGGTTTTTGTGACACCCGCAACCCCTGAGCACAGGCGCATCACAGTGCCTCAGATTATTGCTGGGAGTGGCGTCAGGGGGACTGCCTGTGGGAGGCAAGACTTCGGGGAAATGGGGCGGTGTGCTTGAGTGCAATGACAATATGATTTTCACAAAGATTGTGGGGTGGTATGACTTTTATGTCTATATTAGAGAGCTGGCAAAAATAAATTTAAAAAATCTTATGACCTTGCATGTCTAACTCAAGGGCAGAGTAGAGCACCCGACAGCTTTATGGGGGGAAAATAAACCTTACCTCAAACCACATATACAAAGTTAGAAATTATACATAGGCCTATCTAAGAAATCTAAAACAATCTGCTAGAAGAAAGTGGGAGAATGTCTTGCTAACTTTGGAACAGGCAACCATTTCTCAACAGGATATGAGAAGCAAGGAGTACTAATCATAAAAGATTAATAAGTTTAACGTTTGCAAATCAATAATTTGGTTCATCAAAAAATACCACAAAGAGAATAAAAAAGACAAGCAAGTTGTTGGGAAAAGATATTTGCAAGCTACTGTATTTTTCAGACTATAAGATGCATCCCCTCCCCCCCAAATTTGGGAGGAATAATGGTTGTTAATGCTGCTGTTGAGTTCTATTTACATTTACATTGGTGAAATATTATGTTATTTATGTTATTAAATATTTTACCACATTTTTTGCTTAAATTTTTTTTTATTTTTCTCCTCTAAAACCTAGGTGAGTCTTATGGTCCAAAATATATGGTACATTTGTACAAAAGGACTCATATCCATAAGACATTAAAAAGCTCATAGAAATCAATAAGAAAAGGTCAATTCAATCAAAACTTGATTTTAAAAAGACCTGAAGATATAATTTACAAAAAAAGATATAAAAGTTGGCCGACGGACATATGAAAATGGGCTCTGCATCACTGCTCACGCACAGGAAATGAGATGCCGTTGCACACTTAGTGCCGTGGCTCAGCATTGCAAACACTCACAACCAAGTGCTGGTGAGAAGGGGCAACCGCACTTCTTCCCGCTGCTGGCGGGACAGTGAGCGGAGGACACTCACTCTGGACAAGTGTCGCAGCACTTCATGTTTTTCCCACCAAAAGCTAAACAAACATATACTGGACGATGCAGCAATTCTATTCCCAACTACACCACCCCCCAAAAAAAAAAGTTCTGTCCAGCAAAAAAAAATACATACTTATGCAAAAAGTTTATAGCTACTTTTTAAATAATAGGCCTCACGTAGGAATGATTCAAATACCCATCAGCAGGGCAATGGACGAATACTTTACAGAATATTCATACAGTGGAAGACTGCACCACAGTGAGAGAGAACAAAGTTCTAACACAGGCAACAATCCGAAGGACTCTCAGAGTTGTAAGGGTGAATGAAAAGAGTCAGAGGAAGAGAAGGGGGGAAAAGGTACAGAGAATAAGTAGCATAGACGGTAGGTAGAAAATAGACAGGGGGGAAGGCAAGAATATTATGGGAAATATAGAATCTAAAGAACTTGTGACGCATGGACATAAATGAAAGGGGGGATGTGGGGGAGGGGTGTGCAGGGTGGAAGAGAATGAAGGGGGGAATAGGACAACTGTAATGGCATAATCAATAAAATACATTAAAAAAAGAAGAGTCAGATACAAAAGAATATATAGCACACAATTCAATTTGTGTGAAGTTCAGCACCAGGCAAAACTATGGGATTAGGAGCGGGAATACTGGCATGTGTTAGCAGCACAGTGATGGCAAGGTGGCTGCCGGGAGCCTTCTGAAGCCCTGAGCAGGGCCCATGCCTCGCTCGACTTCCCAATGAAACTCAGAGTCATTTTTGTTGATTTCATAGTCATATGTTGGCTGAACATTGGATTCTTGAATGCTACCACACAGACGCTATCTTGACAAATGATCCAGACGAACAGACCACAAAGGTAACCTTGACACCAGCATGAACTGAGCAAAAGCGGTATTGACGTAACCGAGACTAAGTCAACACAGCGGTGAAGATGTGGGGAAACAGGAGCCGAATTCTGTGGTCTCTCCTCACCCTGGAATCAGGAAGGACAAAGAGACTCAGTGGTGACAGAGCTGACTATGCCACTGAGCACCAAGGACACAATCCTGGGGTCCAAGAAACCGGGCTTTCTGAAGCCACGTCAGGAACCTGGGGAAAGTGTGTTTACCATTGTATTGGAGTCGTAACAAGACCAGAAAAAAACTGGTTTGAAGCTAGACAGTCAAGAATGCTGACAATGTTAGAAACAAACTAAAAGAAAACCGCTCTCATGCTTGCCTTGGGGATAATCTGTTTTTCCCACTCTGGTTGGGCCTTATCAGATGTCCCCAAGTTCACCCTGATGCTCACACTTAACTCGGTGGTCTGTGCAAGTACTACTTGAGTGTGGTTGGGAGACTCTATTCCTGAAGGTGGTCTCCCTTGCCCCTTAAGTTACTGAATTTCAGCATTACTTTTATACAGTTGGTAGTGTCCTCACTGTGTGAACGCTAACAAAATAAGCCAAATATATATTTTATATATTATATGTTTTTTACATCATTTATATATTTTATATACATTATATATGTTTATGTATTACATAGAGATTTTCAAAAGTTATGTTTATGAATCTTTTATGATTAGTACTTCTTGCTTCTAATATCCTGTTAGGAATGTTTGCCTTTTCCAAGGTTAGGACGACTCCTGCCTCCTTCTAGCAGATTGTTCTTGATTTCTTATATAGGCCTATGCAAAAATTTGTGCACAAACATTCATAATGGCATTATTCATAAGACTCAAAAGTGGGAAAAACAATCAAATGTCTATCGGCTCAAACATCCTGATAAATGGGTCCACAAAATGCGCTCTATCCACACAATGAAACATTATTCAGCCATAAAAGGAAAGGCGTACTGATGTACACTACATAGTGGATGGAACTTGAAGACGGTATGTTCCGTGCAATAAGCCACTCACACACGGGCAAGTACGGTAAGGTATGATCCGAGGGACAGGGCAGCCACGTTGATGGGGATGGAAAGTCATTGCCAGGGGCTGGGGGGAAGGAGAATGAGCAAGCTAGTGTTTCGTGGGTGTGGAATTAAGTTTGGGAAGATGAGAAAGTTCTGGAGGGAGACAGATGGTGATGATGGTTGTGAAGCAATTTGAACGTACTTCATATCAGTAAACTGTACACCTCAACATGGTTAAAATGCTAAAGTTTGTATTATGTATATTTTACTATAAAAAACAGATAAATAAATAAGTAAAGGGGGAGCAAAAAGCCAAAAGAAAGCCATTAGCAGAAATCAAACAAGGAAAAGGAACAACACGCCAAAAGAGGAAAAAAGGAGGAGCTAAGGAAAGAAAGAAAATTCTGGAGTACCGGGCCACGCTACTCCACACCCAGCCCTGTGGGCAATGTTGAGAGAAGGAAAGGAAATGAAAGGTTCCTGAGGACCCTCAGTCATGCCCTTCTAACAAACGAGAGGTGGACAGAGGATGAGAGGGCACCCTCAGTGAACGCAAAGGGAGAAGCCAGGCCCTCCGGACCGAAGCCAGATCACAGCCTTCCCAGGCACCGCCCCGAGCCGAGAAAACGAATCCCCATCCTACCTGACAAGGAGAGGCAAACAGGTCTTGAGAACAATCCACCTGCGTTATATCAGGGCAAACAGCATCAAAAGCAAGAAAACACCCAGAAATGATCTGAACCAAGGAGATTAAAGGTAACCCACAAAATGGGAGAAGATATTTGCAAATCACATATCCGAGAAGGGAGTAATACCCAGAATACGTAGAGAACTAAAACTCAACAGTAAGAAAAATACATGTAATCGAATTAACAAACGGACAAAGGACTTGAACAGACATTCCTCTGAAGAAGATCTACAAACGGACAATAAGCACAAGGTGCTTGTCATCACTCAGCACTAAGGAAAATGAAAGGAAAAACTGTGGTGAGGCACCGCCTCACACCCGCCAGGAGGGCTGCAGTGGAGAAACCAGAAAACAGCGAGTGTGGATGGGATGTGAGGGGATCCGAACTTCTGTACTGCTGGTGGGAAGGTCAAATGGTGCAGCTGTTGGGAAATGTATGCGGGGTTCTCAAAAAAAGAAATAAAAAATAGCATTACTATGCGATCCAGCAATTCCACTTCTGGGAATATTCCCCAAAGAATTGAAAGAAGGGTCTCAAAGAGAGATTTGTGTGCCCAGCTTTCTAACAGCGCTATTCACATTAGCTAAACCATGGAGGAAACCCAAGCGTCCATTAGTGGGACAAACAAATGAGCAAAATGTGGTGTATACATAAGTGGAATATTATTCAGCCTTAAAAACGGAGAAAAGAGCCCTGGCTGGTGTAGCTCAGTGGGTTGAGTGCAGGCCTGCAAACCAGAGCATCGCCAATTTGATTCCCAGTCAGGGCACATGCCTGGGTTGCAGGCCAGGTCCCCAGTATGGAGTGTGCTAGAGGCAAGCATACACTGATGTTTCACTCCCTCTCTTTAAAAAAAAAATGAAGAAAAGTGAGCAAAATGAAACTGCATGGATGGACCCCAAGAACATTACATAGAGTGAAATAACCCAGTCACAAAAGAACACACACCACATGGTTCCTTTGACATGAGAGACCAGGCCCAGTCTGAATCCCAGAGACAGAAAGTACAGCAGTGGTTGCCAGGAACCGTGGGGAGGGGGCCACGGGGAATTAAGTGTTTGAAGGGCACAGTTTCAGTTTTACAGGATCGAGAGATTGCTGGACATGGATGGCAGTGATGGTTCCTGAACACTCTGAACGTACTTAATAGGACTTCGCTATACACTTAAAAACGGCGAAGGTGGTAAGTAGTATGTTACATGTATTTTACCACAATTAAAAACATATTTAAACCTACCAGTCGCTCCTAATAGGATGTAGACTTTAAGGTCAGCTGATTGACAGGGCCGAGTTTTCAGGCCTTGGAAGCCCTGGCTCCCGTGGTGCCCACAGCAATAAACGTGCGTGCCTCACCTGCCTTCGTGAAGTAGGCCTTCCCTCTCTGGGACATGAAAATGATATCGGAAGTGTAGAAGCTGTGATAAGTGCTCTTTATGACATCATCGTAAAAGTCAGCCAGTAATTCGAAAGTGTTGCCGCCGTCGATTGACAGCCATACCTACGGGAATCAAAAGGAAGCCCCCATGAGAGAGCTGCCAAGCACCGTCGGCCTTTCCCTATTAGCCTAGTCTTCCCGCGCAAGAAAACCCACGCAGCACGATCTCTTCCACATTCCCACATCCTTCCACCCCCTCTCCCCCACCTCATGTGCACACGAGCACACACACGTGTACAGACTCCTTCCTTACTCGGTCCACCCTGCACTTCCTTCCCAGAGTTTGATTGACAGGGTGTGTGGTGGGCTCAGGTCTGCACAGCACATGGGCGAATGTGTAAGAGATTGAAGTGATGCCCAGCATCTCCCACACGCGGTCCCTTGTTCCCAAAAGGATGCGGTGCTGGGTGTATCTGAGTGAGGGAGAGAGCACCTGCCCCATTCTGACCTGAGACTCCTCGTTCTAGGCACCGCAGCCACATCTGAGAACTCCGTTGGCGGGACACAGGCCCCAGGCCTTTCTTTGCAGGTGTGCGTCTCAGGACCGGGACGTGGTGAGTCCACGGATGAGCGCCACCACTCACAGCGCGTCCATCTATCTGTTTCCTCGTCTCCGGGGAAGAATCATTTGAAGTGTTGTTTGAAGATGAATCCTGCCTGCTACTTCTTTTAATAGCCTCTGTCTTATTCAAATGAAGATTTCTGGGTTTTACATGCTCTTGAATTTTGCTGACTTGGTTTATATTCTTATAAGTAGTGACGAGAGCATCTATTTCTCCAAAACCCACTAATACTTGACATTATCAAAAATTTGTTTTTAATTTTTCTGACTACTTGAATGAAAACTATGGCATCTCATTGCATTTTTCTAAATATTTTAAATTATTGATCTATTTATGGCTCAGTTTTATTCTTCTTGTGCTATTTATTTAATAATATAGTGAACATGTGTGAACTGAAGCCTAACCCAAGAATTAGCCTATCGCTACTTTACCTTTTCCTATCAATCTCCCCCAGATTCTACTACCCTGGCTCCTTCCTCAAGGACATATCCAATGTCCTGAAATTTGTGTTTTTCATTCCCTTGCTACTTTTTAAAAAGTTTTAGCACATATATAAATATGTTTAATATGTTACTTGATTTTATTTTTTCTTTAAACTTTTTTTGATACAAGGGTATTACACCGTATGTTGCCTTCCAGAACTTACTCTCCCCAATACCATTTACTTATATTCATACACTTTGCATATGGTTCAGTTAATTTGCTTTTCCATCGCTGAATAAGAAATAGTCCATGATGTGAATAAAATGTAATTTATTCCTTCTCCTTTTAATGGGCATCTGAGTTATTTTCAGTTACCCAGTGCTATTATTAACAGTACTGGGATGAAAATTTTTACATGTTTCCTCCTATGTATGTTTCCCTCACCCAAATGGTGACATTGGCAGTCACAGAAGGTGCAAACATTAAAATTGACAGGATAACAGTAAGGCCAAGTTGCTATCCTGAAAAGCTGCAGTGATTGATTTTCCTTCCCATCAGCACTGTTGAAAGGATCGCGTCCTCTTCAACATGGGCCTTGTCGGGTTAATTTTGCTAATGAAATAGCTGAAAATACTGCATTGCGTTTTCCTTTGCAGGTCCCTGATGACCTGGGAATTGTAGCATCTCCCCACAGGTTTATTCCATTGCACTTCCTTCTCTGTGAAATGCCTGTTTGTATTTTTTTAAATCAATTTAGCTTTTTCTGTATTACTTTGTAGACATTCTTATTTATTCTCACATTTAACTCTTCCTCAGTTAAGTGTGTTGCAAATGTTACTTCCAGCTTGTATTTTCACTTTCCACAATGTCTTTAATGAACAGAATCCTGCTCTTCCTCCTTCTCCTTTTTTGTTTGTTTTAATAATTTGCACGTATCTTTTAGGTTTTCTACATAGACAATCACATCTTTTGATCATATCTTTGAGGCTTTGTTACTTTTTTAATACTCATGCCTTTAATTTCTTTTTTTAAATATATTTTATTGATTACACCATTACAGTTGTTCTATTTCCCCCTTCATTCCCCTCCACCCTGCACAACCCCTCCCCCACCATTCCCCCCTTTAGTCTATGACCATGTGTCTCAAGTTCTTTAGATTCTATATTTCCCATACTATTCTTGCCCTCCCCCCTGCCTATTTTCTATCTACCGTCTATGCTACTTATTTTCTGTACCTTCTCCCCCCTTCTCCTCCTCCCACTCCCCTGTTGCTAACCATCCATGTGATCTTCATTTCTATGGTTCTGCTCCTGAGCTAGCTGTCCTCTTAGTTTGCTTTTGTTTTAGGTGTGATTGTTAATAACTGAGTTTGCTGTCCTTTCACTGTTCATCTTTTTTATCTTCTTTTTCTTAGGTAAGTCCCTTTAACATTTCATGTAATAAGGGCTTGGTGATGATGAACCCCTTGAATTTGGTCTTATCTGAGAAGCACTTTATCTGTCCTTCCATTCTAAATGAAAGCTTCACTGGATAGAGCAATCTTGGTTGTAGGTATTTGGATTTCATGACTTGGAATACTTCTTTCCAGCCCCTTCTTGCCTGTAAGGTCTCTTGAGAAATCTGCTGACAGTCTGATGGGAACTCCTTTGTAGGTGACTGTCCCCTTATCTCTTGCTGCTTCTAGGATTCTCTCCTTCATTTTAATCTTGGCTAATATAATTATGGTGTGCCTTGGTGTGTTCCTTCTTGGGTCCAACTTCTTTGGGACTCTCTGAGCTTCCTGGATTTCCTGGAAGTCTATTGCCTTTGCCAGAATGGGGAAGTTCTCCTTTATTATTTGTTCAAATAAGGTTTCCACTGGTGGCTGTTCCTCTTACCCTTCTGGTACCCCTATAATTCAGATGTTGGAGCATTTAAAGATGTCCTGGAGGTTCTTAAGCCTCTTCTCATTTTTTTAACTCTTGATTTTTCATTCTTTTCTGTTTGGTCCTTTTTTCTTCCTTCTGGTCCACTCCCTTGATTTGAGTCCCAGTTTCCTTCCATCACTATTGCTTTCCTGTGCATTTCCCTTCATTTCAATTAGTGTAGCCTTCATATGTTCCTCCAATTTGTGACTAAAATCAACCAGTTCTGTGAGCATCCTGATCACCAGTGTTTTGAACTGTGCATCTGATAGGTTGGCAATTTCTTGGTTGCTTAGAGTTATTGGCTCTGGGGCTTTGAGTTCTTCTTGAGCCATATTTTGGTCTGTTTGAGCCTGTTACATATGAGGAGGGGAGCCTTAGGTGTTCACCAGGGTAGGGCTACCCAGGTCGCTGGGTTGTGACCCTGTATGTGGGGGCGGGGTCAGAGAGGGACAATGGTGGTTCCCTCTGCTGCTTCCCACTGCTGGGGCCTGTGTGGTCTGTCTTACTGCTCATTCCTTCACTGGTTTATCTGCATGTGAATGTGTGACTGCAGTCAGCCTGCTGCCTTGTGCCCTCACTGGGTCTGCCTATTGCTACTCTACACCTGGGATCTGCCCAGGGCTGCCTGCGTGCCTGGGTCAGGGAATCTTTTTTGCCCAACCCACTCCGCTGCTGGCTCCACCCCTCTTACCGGTCTGGCTGAACAGTTAGTTGTTGTCGGACTTCCGGACTTCCGTGTAGTTCAATTTTCTGTGGTTTGGCTGCGTTTTTGTTGCTAAAACTTTGTTGTTTTTAAACTTGGTTGTGCGAGAAGGCACAGTGTTTCCACCTAGGCCTCCATCTTGGTAGAAGTCTAATTTCTTAATTTTGTTCTTTGTCATATTGCATTCCCTTCTGTACACTCTTTTATTTATTAGCAGTTTCTTGGTAGAACTCCATCTGAGGTTAAACACAACTCTGTGTTCTGTGTGCAGTGTTGACCCCACAGCAGAACATGGAGGAGAACATGCTGTGTGATGCTGAACTGGTCACACACTGAATCAGGAACACAAAGCTCCAGCCATCGCACCACATCCCCTCAGTCCGTCCCTCCCTCCTCCTAGGCCAGGATGTTACTCTGTTCTCTCTTTCCTCAAACCTCCAACACTCTTCCTCCATCCTCATTCTCAAGTAATGACTTCGATGTGTTATTGCAAAAACAGAAGATAAACTCCCACATGCTTCCATCACTACATCTGTCCACCTACCAGCCTTGAACCCGTCGACTCTCCCTTCCTTCCTGTTACTGTGGAATAACCTTCCTCCTGAGGCACCCACTCCGCTGGAGCATAGCTCTCCTCTCCTCTTCCCTGTTTGAAAACATCCATGGCTCCAGAAATTGCTCTCTTTCCTGCAGCACCAATTTCCCCTCCTACTGAATAATTCCCATCGGCACACAGCGTAATTTCTCGGATCTTAAGGGAAAAAAAACCCACCTCTTGAACACTCTTCCTTCCTTCAAAGGTTGCTTCATTTCACAACTCCGCATTTCAGCAAAACTTTGCAAAAAAATTGTGCTCATTGTCTCTAATTCCTCTCCTCTCATTCTGTCTGCATTGGGCTTCCCACCTCATTCATTATCTGCAACGGTTCTTTACTTCAAGTGTAACCACTCAGCACAGATGAAGCCAATGACTCACACCCACACTAGAGAGTGAAATTTCATGGGTACGCACCTGATTCCCGTAGGCATAGAGCAAATGGCTTCGTGGATGGAATACCATTCCGACAGGAGACGAGAATGATGAAGGAAACGTGAAAGGTGGAAATTTTTGTTTCAATATAGGTTTGTTACTTCTTAGGCTGTGTACAGATACTGTGGTTGCTTTCTGGAAAGAGACAAAGCATGGAGCAACCATAAGAGCTTTTCCATGAATAATAATACTAGGCCATGTTACAGTCTTCAGAGTTTCCCGTTACTCAGATTTGGATTAAGATAGGGACCCATTAACACAGCACAGGACTGGAAAGATTAGCAACACCCATACCTCTTTACTCCGCGGCCCCCATATACATCCATTTAATAGCTATGAAACATGAAGTTTAGAAGACTGAATACTTTGTCCAAGGTTCAATAATAAATGGAAGAGGAACTGAACCCAGCAGACAGACTCCAGTGCCCAAGCTCATTATTATCCCCTCAAAGTGCTTTTGAAGAGTGTAGGCCCCTGGGCCGCACTCCAGTTCTACTGGGTCATGATCTTGAAGGGGATCAGAATGTGCACCTCAAGATGTGCCACTTTGTTATAAAGATTATTTTCAGCTGAAGACATTTGAGATTCAACAGATGAAGAAAAGAAAGGCTTCCCTTATCTGACTAAAAGCGGCACGTTCTGAGAAATAAGACTGCCATGAATTCCCTTCGGGGTGGAGTTACTCGCACAAGGGAGAACGTGAATAGAACCGATCCAAGTCCTCCTTCGTGGAAGATTTCTGGCCCCAAAGGAGGCAGAAAGAACACTCATACCTGTGCAAACAAACATTAGCACGAACTATCGTAACCCCTGTAAGGCCGTGTCCTTTCACTTACATTTTCCTTGAGTGCCGCTCTCCTCCGCCTTAACCCATTAAGGAGGCACATGACCCCCAAATTTAACCCCCCTTTCTGAGTTCCTCCTCACTGACTTGCCCCTGCCTGCGCAGACACTGCACGCAGAAGTAAATTGTTTCCTTTCCTCCGGCTGTTCTGTCTTTTGTCAGTTTCACGTACAGGACCCTGGTCACTGAACCAAGAGGGAAGAGAAAAATTATTTTTTTCTCCTCTGAAATCATAAGGGTAGGACTGAAATATATATAGTGACTCTAAGAAAAATTCTAGTTCGCAGTTGGGGTTAAGACTCTTTGGAATAGAATATACAGATCTGTGGCAATTTATTTCCGTTATTTGTTCATTGAAAGCACCGGTGGCAAACACAAGGCCCGCGGGCCAAATCAACCTTCCACCTTGTTTTATCCGGCCCGGCACCTTGTTTCTACCTGGCGGCAGCGCTCAGCTCCTCGCCTCTAGTTAAGGAGTAGTTCCATTTATACAGTCCTAAAGTTACATTTGGCCCTTTGAAGGCAACAATAAGGCTGATGAGTTTAACACCCCTGATCTAAACTAACCACTTTCATGAAACATGATATTTACATAAACCTAACTCAGCTTATATTCTCAGGGAGAATAAGCAAAGGAGAATCACTATGCAAACGGCATCCTCTGTTCCAGTTTCATCAAACTCAGTGACCATCAGAGGCAAGAAATCCCTCAAGTGTCTTGCCACAAGTAATTTTGCTGTCTCTAGTTTGATCAAACTCTACCGCCAAAGCTGGCAGGCACGCGACAACAGTTCTGCTCAGTTAAACTTTCCCTAGTGCGGCGTCAGGAGCCACGGCCCCCAGACATAACGATTACCTGGTTATGTAAGAGGTAGACTCCAGTACTATGCTCTTGGTCCACAAGAAATGTTATCACAGTTGAAGCAATAGATTTCACGTGTTTCAAAAGGGGAGGTAAGCAAGGTAACCATACAAAAAACGGCTCTCTACTATAAAAACAAGAGCTTTCCTACAAAAAGAGAAAGGCAAACATAATGCTGTTTTTGATATACAAGCTCTAATTAGTTCTCTTAAGCAAATAAACTAATGACTGACTACAAATAAAAGTGTTGATTTTTTTTTAAGTGTCAAATCTTCAATGCCTGTGCTCTCTTCCGGGGGATGTGAGTTCGGAAAGCATCCTTTCCGGCCCAGGTTGTTTGTCCGGAACCCCTGCAAAGGTCTAGAGGTGACACAATGACTTCATCATCATTAAACGCCAGGACAGGCACCCCTGGGGGCAAGAAGTGATGGTTCAGCCTTCCGGTCTGCAGAACTGATTTTTTTTAAATTAAAAACAATGCATAAAATTGTGCACAATAAAATTTCTTACCTTTTACTCTATGCAATGCCATACCTCACTTAAGGTCCGGTTTCTCTCAAAGGTGACAGTGACATAGTCAACTGTAAAAGAGGAAGGGACAGGGATCACAACAGCACCCCAGTGTCTAAGCCGGTTGTTAAATGTACTCGGATCAATTTCTTGTGCTTCTATCAGGGCGTGCTTGTTGTCTTGGATGTAAATGAATTGTCCTCCTTAGTTTTAAGTCTTAGTTTTAAAACTGATACTGAAGCCCTGGCTGGTGTGGCTCAGTGGATTGAGCACGGGCCTGCAAACCAGACAATCGCAGTTCGATTCCCAGTCAGGGCACATGCCGGGGTTGCAGGCTGGTTCCCTGCAGGCCAGTTCCCAGCAGGGGATGCATGAAAGGCAACCATACATTGATGTTTCTCTCGCTCTCTCCTTCCCTTCCCCTCTAAAGATAAATAAATAAAATCTTTAAAAAAATGTTTAAAACTGATACTGAACAAACCTATGTTTACATTGTACCCTATCTCTATTTCATCACTTTATTTGATCTATATAGGCTATGTCAAAAAAAAAGCCCGTCAACCCCTCTTCAGCTGAAATTTACCTTCAAATGATTCTGTGTTAGCAAAACATCTTTCATTATACCACAGTTTTCCTTTGACATAGTCCACCTACATAAATAAATAAAAAATATCATTTAGGCAACGTGTAGACATAATATATAAAAAAGGAAAAGCATTTTAAAAATGTAAAAGTTCAATAGTTCAGGACCGTGAGGCAAATAAATGGAAGAAAACTATATGCAAATAAAAGGTTGTAGAGGACAAGAAACAAGAAAACTGCTGTTTGAACCACACACACACACGGAAAAGGAAAGCACAGGAATTTCACATGAATGAGCACGTGTTAACGGCAGACGCCCTGCCTCACGGCCTAGTCTTCCTGATGCTACCAGAAGCTGTTAACCTGTCGTCACGGCCGCAGTGTGTCACATGACTGTCTTTCATCCGCACTGGGGGCAGCGAGGCTTAAGGACCCTTTGCAGAAGCCTGATGGCAGCAAGAAGCAATAAGAAACAAGCCACGAAAACATAGGTTTTGAAACAGTGCTGGTTAAGAGAGAAGCTTTCAAAGAAAGTGAGATTGTATATGTCATGTTGGGTATGAATTAGGCAGGCGTGTAAGATGTTTCTTTATTATAGGAGGGTTCTGACTTTTGAATGATTGTTGAAACAAAAGGGAGACCTTCTCCCAGTTTTATAGGTCAGTGATAAAATCTGTATAATCTGTGCATTATCCTTTTAAATGCTCTAAAATCGATAGTGGTAGTGGTTGCACAACTCTGTGAAGATACTAAAGCCCACTGAATTGCATACTCTAGATGCCTGAATTTTGTGTGTATTACATCTTAATAAAACTGCTAGACAAAACAAACAAGACAGACTTTTAACACAGAATACACAATAGTTTAGTTGAATGGTATGGTACCTTCAAGCTAAGGTGTTATATAGAATGAACTTTTTGAGTTCTCATATAAATCTTCAGGTTTGCAGGACACCGTAATTATCACTATAATATGTGAGCAATTAATATAGAATCTTTACTGAGCCCTGACTTACTCTTTCTCTCTAGATTCCGGCTTGCTTATTTCCTACCTGGAATCAGACTGACAACAGCCTAGTCACTATCTTGGGAGATAGTCTCACCTGAGCGGGCTGACCTCATTCCAAGGGATGAGCTCATGACCCAGGTCTGACTTAGAGCCACAAAGGTTGGTCAAGAAGGCACAGGTGATCCCATCAGGTGAGTGAGTTGGCCCTGCGACTCCCGGGAACTCTGTCCTCCTCCTGTTGGGATGGGGAACCTGATTGTTGATGAACCTGGTAGCTATTCTTACTAACAACTGGAGAAAATGTACTGAGAATGAAGCTAATGTCTGGCAAGGATGGCTTCAGGTGAGGGGTAGACATGACAGGAATGAAGGATCTTGTGTCTCTTATACCAGAGAGAATTTTATTCTTGAAGAGGCAACCCAAAAATCCCTGCTATTTCTACTAAACAGATTTTGGTGGCTAACAGATTTTTCCTCATGCTTACTTTCCAGTTTAGGATTTCTGTACTTACTATTACCTCTGTCTGAATGTGCTTCTTCAGGTCATTCAAGTCTCTGCTTGAATTTCTCCTCCTTGGAGAGATCTGCTATAACCAATCACCCTATTTCAAGTAGAGTCTTATCTTCCCTGTGCCCTCTCTTTCCGTTACCTGCTTCAATTTCAGTGACCCCTGATTCCTATCTACATGGCAGTAGGGATGGTATCTTGTTCATTATGAAATTCTTCTTGTCTAAATAAGCATGGGCTAGAGAAAGTACTCAAATATTTGTACAGTGAGTAAAGAAGTAAATGAATAAGTCATCAAGTATTAACTCCTTCGAACCTTCTCAAACAGCCAAACACATCCCATTCTTTCCACCCTTCCTTCGGTTACTATCGAAAAGGCCTAATCCAAAGGTAAATCCCTATACTTTCCCAAACAATTTCCCTTCCGGCCGTGCCTGCGTGTATGAGATGGGGATGGGGAGGGGACATGGCAAAAGGCAAGGAATGCTCAAAGTTTTCCGTCGTGGTTTCCAAACTGAAACATGCTTGTGTGTTGATTAAAATGACCTACTGAATCACGGAACTTGCCCTTGTAACAGAGAGGGGAGATAACCAATGGAATAAAATCTCCCCCAAAGGCAGGCGCAGAGGTGTGGCTAGTTAATATGCAAACTAGAAAGTGACTTTCTCCAGCACAGGGGTGGATGGATCAGGGAGTAAAGTCTTAGCCAGATTTCAGCCCTGACTCTCTTTTCGCCAGGGTGCCCTGGTGCAGAAAACACCTGAACCCCCACAACGATCCTGGGCAGAACAGAAAGTAGGGGTTGCATGGCCTCCGAAACAAGGCAGGGCACTGTGTTCTATTGCTTGATAGGTGGTAGAAATACATTTTTTAGAGCTTAAATGGTAAATAACATTATAGTAACGGGAATAATCTATATCTCGAATTCTCATCTTGCACCTCATCTCTTAAGGCACCGAGGAAACATATCTTTTAACCAACCCTTGGACATTTAAAGCATCTTACCCTTTCGAAACCGCAAAAGTCTGCCCTTGAAAACTAGAAGGAAAAGAAAAAGGAACTTTAATTTTAGCTTGCCTCTGAGAAGGCTTCACAAAACACAGCATTTAAATTATACTGAAGGCAATGTCTCTCTTTAGCCCCACAGTTAGCAGTGCCACACTGAAACCAGCCCCCCGAGTCGTTCACACAACATCCTGGAGATGTCCCCGTCAGTCTTCCCCTTGTTTCACCCCTGGGTCAACCTGTTCATACCTGAACTTAGTGCCAGCCGGGATTTGGGATCAATGCCCCATCTGTTAATGACTCAGGTAGAGGAGTGAGGAAGTGTGCCACCCTCGTGCACTAAATCTGTCGCTCTCTTGGGACTGGGAAGGCACACCCCTAACCTACCATTTCCCCGGGGCCTCCTGCTGCTCAGCCTGGTGCAGGCCCTAGACTGGGCCCACTGGACTTTGAACTTCAGTCACTATTCCCGGCATCTACAACTTGGCTTCAGCAATTATATGATAAGCAATAGAAGGCCAGATTGATTAGCTGTCTGAGCAACAAATGGTACTTTCTCAGAGACAGTGAGGAAGGAGAGAGCCTGTGAATATTTGTACACCTGGAGAAAGGTCGTATCATTGTGCATAAGACATGCCTGCGTCTCCGCCGGGACAACTGCCCCTTCTGTACCCACCCTGGTCTCTTCTTACACTGTTCCTAAGTCTTTACGACCGCCCTGATTTCTGTTGTCATTTTAAAGAGGTGTTTACTAACATGCTTAAGAATTTCATTCTGTGCATGTTGTGTGTCTTCACCAAGATGTACCATATTTGTCATGTATAATGCACAATCTTTTGCCCAAACTTATTTTCAGGGAAAAATAAGGATGTGTACTGTACATGGGTAGTACTACTTCCATATCTATATAAATGTCTTAATTCTTTTATTTATGCTTATGTGTTAAAAGCATAACTCTAGAAAGCAATACTAATACCTGCATGTTCAAAAATAAATGCCGAAATTCCTTTACAGTACAAAAAACAAGTATCTAAATATAAATCTTTGAATGAATTAAAAAATTAAAATGAAAGATTTTTTTACTGAAAGTTTGGGCCCAAAACATGGGTGTACATTATACACAGCAAAGTATGATATATTCCCCTTCTCTCAATACCAAAAGTCACTTTAATTTAGGTTACTTTGCAATATTATATTTAGCTTTGTCAATTACTGTAAAGTATTTTGGGGTCATATATAACTATAGATATGTAGACAGATAGATAGAGTATGTTCTATTTGTATGTACGTAAAACTCACTATAAATCTGTATAGCAATAACACTAGCACCATTTCCAAATGATATTGTCACCACAATAAGGCAAAGGAAGAAGTCACTGTATTAATGTTTTTACATTTTTTAAAAGGAAGAAGCATTTCAATCCTAAGAGAGACTGCGCATAACTCAAGTATTCAATGTTTTTCTACTTTATGTCATGAAAGATATTTCAGGTTAACTATTCATTACAAAGCAGTTCACACACCTTTAGGACACGGTTTGATGGATAACGAAGATCTCTACTTATAAAAAGTCCCAAAGACGTGAGCATAACAAAGAAATGATTTGTTAAAACCATATCCACCACTGAGAGCTCCGTGTGTTCTGAAGGAAGAAATCATACCATGGATCAAACATGAGGAAAATGCGAAATACTGATCAAATATTGATGTAAATGAAATGCTGAAGATGAAGGCACTCTTCAAGAAATTACCTTCTCCAACTTGGGAATAGATCATATCAGTCAGGTTATACCACACGGTATCATCATACTTCCAAAATCCAGAAAAGGTGAGGCCTATGTAAACACCTGCCAGAGAGGAAAGGACGATTAAGGCGAGATGACTTTGCAAAGGGAGTAACTGGCCTCTGTGGTGCGAGGGGCCCCCACCCCAGCCGCATCTGCTCCGCCTTCCACCCCACTCTCCACCCCTCAGCTCAAAGCTCACCGCCCCAAGCACTGGAAAGGTGAAGTGACTTCAGGTTACACTGCAAGATTTTAGCTTGCCATCCGATTTAATTACCAAGTATTTTGCTTTATATTTGAAGGGGGTCAGAATACACCACCCCCAAATATGCCACTTTGCCGTAAGGATTATTTTGAGCTGAAGGCAACTGAGAATCCACGGATGCAAGGCGAGTTTTCTGTCTTCTCCTCATCTGCCTAAAAGCAGGGCATACGTCTTCCCTTGTGAAAGGTGCCCCCTTGTACCAGCAAGAGGAGAACACTCTTATCACCAGAGATGGGAGTTGACAGGGACAAGTGTGCTTAAACAGACCTTAATCCCCCTAGTTTCCCCCCCCATCACTTCCCACAAAGCGTCACCCTCTGAAGCCCAGGTCCCTTCCCTTTGTTAAAATGGTATACAAACCCTTGAGCGTAACTGCTTCTTTGAACTCCCATGAATGTTAAGTGTTAGTAAAAACTGCATGCCCTTTCTCCTGGCAATCACTGACAGTTTAATTCACAGCCCGGGCACTGAACTTAAGAGGGTAGATGAAGAGTTTTTCTTCCCTAACACCCTCCTGAGCACAGATATGGTCCTATATCATTAGTGCAATTTTAGTAAACAATAAAAAACCTCCAAAGAAAACATTAAACTGTAAACTCCTAGAGAAGAAACTTTAATATTTGTGATTTTAAAAATAGAAACAATATTTGCTAATGGCTCATGAAAGCCTGTTGAAAAAATGACCAAGGAAATTGCAAATATTGAGAGTACTTTGTTCCCTGATCCTACCTTTCCTCGGCCACAGCTAGGAATGTCGGGAGTCTCGTGTTTTAAATGTGAAGGGTCAGTCTGAAGGCTAGTCACGGTGTTTGGGGTTCAGGGGTGTGCAGTGTGGGGGCCTGGACACAGTCGATAATCTAATGCATACACTTTGTTTCCAAGAGATGAATATGGGATCAGTCATATTGTAAAGAACGTATTTTAATTCCTGGCTCTTTTCTGTGCAGAGAAAAATGTAGAGAGAAGCATTACCATCATCTGCTTTCTCCAGGAAGAGGAAAAGCTAAAGCTAAGCTCCGCCTTTCTAAGCACTGAGTCTGGTTCTACCAATAACAGCATACTGTATTCTAAGTGGGGGTGGTGGTAGGTGTCCAGCATGATATTGTGTGACCAGGCTCCAGCAAGGTTCAGAAATCGTTAATGCTTCCTTCTGGCTAATATTTTAGACCAAAATTCAGGCCACTCTCTACGGCACGCTGGCCACCAATGGATCCCAGGGTTACAGAAGCCAAGGCAGGCCACGGTGGAGAGTTTGGATTTTACCGGAACAGGCAAAGGGAAGCCCTGGAGTATTCGAAGGTTGTGAGTGATGTGATTTGATTTCCATGTGAGAAGCTCACTCTGGTAGCTGGACAGAGGGTGAGTTATGCTGGGAGAAGACCAGGCCAGGGAGACCCCTGAAGAGGCTGCCCATTGGTCTGTGGAGAAACACTGTTGACTTCAGACTTGAGCAGTGGTGAGAGTGGTCACCGTGGGGGTGGACATGGGGCGCAGCGCCAGCCTGGCGTGTCACGAGGGTAAGAACAGTCAAGAATGTGTCCTGGAACTGAGTTTCCAGGAACTGGATGTTCATTAGGAAGGAGAACACTGGCAAGGCACAGGTTTCAGAGGGGGCGAATCAAGAGTTCTGCATGACACTTGTGATACTTGAGATGCTCATTAAGACACCCAGAGGAAGTGTCAAATCTAGTGTGAGGCTGGGGGCCACAGACAAGGGCCTCCCGTGAGAACTGCTGGTTTAGGCTGCGGCCGCTGGACACTGTGGGAACCTCAGTGCTGCTTGAGTACAGGGGCAGGCAGCTGGGGGAAGGGTGGCTGAAATAATTTCTTCTCGCGCAATGTTGAAGTGGTCTGGTGAGTGAGACCCCAACAGGCAGAGACTGTCCCTTCTCCCCATGACTTGCACGTGTGTGGCAGGAAGGAACACAAGGGATAAAGAATGGCTGCTTCCAGTGACTCACAGAAGTAGGGCTTGTTCCTGTAGGTGTTTGGACTAAGAGAAGGCAGAGGGGCCTTATCTAGCCTGGCACCTGTGGGATGAAGGAGCTTTTGGGAGCTGTTGTAGAGAGGAAAGAGACACATTTCCAGCTGAACTAATTCTGCACAGGCAGACGCTCAGAGCTGGAGGTAACTAAAAGATTGGAAGCCACTAGGAATGCAAAAAAACCAGGGTTGTCCATTTGTCTTTCCTTACACCGATGCCCACCAGTCTGCCTCTATTACTTTACAATAAGTCACAGCAGGGCAAGTTTTTGTTCTTCCTTTTATTCTTTTTAAAAATTATCTTTGCTATTTATTATTTCTATTGCTTCATTCTCCCCTATGGATTCGAGGATTGTCAATTTCCACACACACGCAAATGCTGCTGTAACTTTTTCTGGAATTTTATTGCATCGATGCACAGATTTAAAGAGAATTAATATCTTTACAATATTAGAAGTTCCTATTCATGACCATAAACATTTTACTTATCTTAGTCTTTTTTTATAATTTCTGTACAACAGGCCTTGCAACTATTTTCGTTTGTTTTGTCTCCTTCTGGGTGCCATTAGAGGTTTGTTACTTTATGAATAAAAACTTTAAAATTAGAGTCTTTAGTGGTCTCTGGTGGGCAGTTTTCATAAATTGTTATTGCATTCCTCAATTCTGTAGCACTCTCATATTTGCTCTGATAGTTTTTTTTCTGTTGATTCTTTAGATTTTTATGTGGATACACATATTGTCTATAAGTAATAAAATTTTGTTTCTTATTTTTTATGTTCTTTTATCTATGTATTTATTCCTTTATGTTCACTGGTTTTGGGGGACCAGCAGTCATCAATGGCCTAGGAAAAACAACTAGAATAATACAGTTAGTAGTGGAACTGTGGAAGACCCTATGAAGTATTACAGTAGTAACATAAAAACACAGCCATAATACATTACAAAATATGGTACCTTGGAAGTGCGGAGCCTAATCCATGTGGCAAGGATTGCCGCGCACAAACAGGTGGGTTAGAATCGCAGTGAATGGTCTCTGGGAGGAAGTAACATCAAGTGGAAGGCAGAGGATAAAGGAAATGAGGAAAGACACTGAAGTCGCTGTTAACATGGCAAAAAGCCAGAGGGAAAAACAGTAAGTCACACTCAGATAGACAAGGTACAGTGATGAAGGTAAATTCTTAGGTGTTTTTAGGAGATGGCTTTACTCCATTGTGTCTATGCATTTGGCATGCACTGCCAGTTAAACATCGCTGTTATAAAACACAAAATACCATTTCCGGCATTCAACAAAGCCATTCACTTACCGTTACCTGCCGAATTCACAAGGAAGCCAAGCAATGCTACGTCGTTGGCGCAAGGGCACTTTGTGACTTTCAGGTCTACCACGTGTGGATATAATTTAGTGACACTAGTTTTGGTTATCTTAGTCCCGAGTTTCCACTGAAGAATAGGTTCTGTAAAAATCAAGTTAAGGTGTTTAAATTAAGGCAGAACTCTTGAAAATGAAACATTCTTGCTTTCCTTTAAGGGTTTCAGAGGAACTGTTCCATTGTTCCCAAACCGGGGGTATCGCCTTACCCTCCTTACTCATTGAAAATAGGTTAATTCTTATTTTCCAGAGTGGGAGGAATGAGGTCTCATGGCCCTTGCCCTTATACTACAGAAGAGCACATGGGATGGAATATATCTGATTTGACCACCTTTGGAAAAATATAATTGGCCACAGATCTATACCTAGAAATGAAATTTCTGGATCACACGATATGCACATTTATAACTCAGAGCACAACTTCGGCTGTTTACTTTCTGTTCTCTCCCCCCATGCCCCATTTAAACAGCAGTGGCTGAATAGGAAATGAGAATACATCTGAATAGCAGTGGCAAACAGGGAAAGTTATCATTAGTGGCCAGGACACTTAAGAGGAATTTCTGGAAGATATAAAGAAGTTGGGGTAGAAACAACAGGAAAAAATAAAGCAGTCAGAGGAGGAACATCTTCAGCCCAGCAATCTAGTCTTAGATACGCTGACGGTTGAAGCTGGAGAAAGTCAAATGCTGATATCTAAGAAAATGGGAGGATTTCCTTTCCTCTGAAAAAATGGGAAAAGTGCCTACAAAAAATAAGCCAGGGAATGTGACAGGATACTGCTGTCCCCATGCAGGTCTCCTGCAGCTCCCAAACTTTTAATTACATCTGCTACAAAACCGAAGACTCTATGTGGTATGTTTTTCACATACAATCTTTTTTTTTTTTTTCACTGTGCAAAGCCAGGGAAGGAGCTAGATTTCCATTTGGGTTGACATAGTATAGGGATGGCCAAGAAGGGAAAGAGACGTGATTTATAACCAACCTGATCCACTCCAAGAGTCAAAGAAATCTGGGGCAAGGCAGCTGACTTTCCAGAGCATTACATGTGTGTGAGGGCAATTAACAACCAGATCTCGGAGGACGGGAGATGTGGGCTCGCAGCTGAATACAACTGCACTGACTTGCAAATGTTTCTTATGAACAAGCCAGCTATTGTATTTTATGCACTTGAAGAATGAGGAAGTGATTAAAAGTCTTGACTGCTACTGAGAAGCTAGAGACATGACCAATATGAAGGTGACTGACTAATGATGGTGATTAAGAACTATTTTAGTGGGTTGGTCTGGGGTGTGGAAGGGAGAGTAGGAAGTGAGGACAACATTGTTCAATATCTCTTTGAGATAGTAGTGAATAAATATTGCCAACTGTTAACCTGACTTTAACCTTGATTGCCATTTTCCAATATTCTCTCCCCATGTCCCCAGCATTTCAGTGAGCGAGATCATCACACACTTGATTGCTCTGGTAAGAAATCTAGTATCTGTCCTCCACAGCTCTGTTTCCCTTGCCCCCAATTCACAGTAGAGTTGATAGGAAGCCATATCAGCTCTACTTCCACAGTGTACTCTGAACACGCCTCCTTCTCACCATCTCCACTGCTCAGCCCACAGCCCGAGGACTCCCAGACCATCTCTTAACTGGACCACGCCACAGCTGCCAACCAATCTCCCGCATTCTGTTCTTTCCATCCTTCCCCCAAGAGTCAGTTCTCTATACAGCAGCCAAAGTGATCTTTTTATAAGGCATAAATCAGAATTTACCACTCTCCTGCTTAAATACTCCAACAGCTTTTCCCTGTGACTAGAATAAAATGCACTTTTTACCATGATAGCTGCCAGCCTCTCCAAATTCACTCTACTCTACTCTGTCTGCCATTTGCTGTGCTTCCACTACACCGGGCACCCTCCGGTCCCTCCAACAGGGAGCTCTCATTTCTGCATCTGGAACTGGTGAGAACTTCTCATTTGTGGTCCTACGTAAATTCTAAATAATGTACATTAAAATTGCCATGCAGTATGTAATGCGCTTGGTACATTTCAATATGTGATTCGGATTACAGATTATTTTTAAAATTCAAATAATTTTATATTGTTATTTTAGTATTTACAAGTATTCAATTTGTTTACTTTGATCATTAGATTCCACATATGAGTGAAGTCAGCAAAATAGAGATAGACTCAGATAAGAGAGCAGGCTGACAGCTGCGGATTGGGGTTTGGGGTGAATGGATGGAGCAAAAAAGAGAAAGAGCTCATGCATACAGACAACAGTGTGGTGACTGTGGGGTGGGGGGTGGGGTGGGTGGGGGTGGAAGAGGGTGGAAGAGGCACAAGTGGTAATAGAAAAAAGTACAACAAAATAAACTTTTAAAAATATGGAAAGCAATGAAGACTTCTGGCTGAGATGGAGGCATAGGTAGACACACTGTGCCTTCTTGCACAACCAAAATAAGGGCAACAATAATTTAGAAACAAAATAACAACCAGAACTGACAGAAAATTGAACTATATGGAAGTTGGACAACGAAGGAGCTGAAATAGACACATTCATCCAGACCGGTAAGCGAGGCGGAGTCGGTCAGACAAGCAGAGAGGGGTCTCAGCACAAAAAGTGGTGGCACTGGGCGAGAAAGGCACCCCGGGCACGCAAGACGGCAGTGGGCAGACCCAGCAAGGGGGCGATTGTGAAGTGAGGCACTGCGCTCAAGGCGGCTGACCTGGTGGTCCCACATTCACATGCAGATGAACCAGGTGAAATTGGGGAGCGAGACAGACCGTGCAACCAGGGTCCCAGCACAGGGAAATAAAGCCTCAAAACACCAATTGAAAACACCTATGCGGATTGAGATGCCGGAAGTGACTCCCAGACTCATAGCAGAGTTTGTTGGAGAGACCCACAGGGTCCTAGAATGTACACAAGCCCACCCATCCAGGGAACCAGCACCAGAAAGGCCCAGTTTGCTTGGGGGAAGCAGCAGAGGGGACTGAAATCTGAGAGTGGAGCAAGCACCATTGTTCTCTCTTGGACCCTGCCCCCACACACAGGGTCACAACCCAGTAACATGGGTTGCCCTGCCCTGGGGAACATCTAAGGCTCTGCCCCTCCTATGTAACGGGCTCAACAAGTCAAAAAAAAAAAAAGGCCCAAAAAAGATTTCCGGCCAAGATGGAGGCATAGGTGGAAATATTGTACCTTCTCACACAACCAAATTTAAAGACAACAAAGATTTAGAATCAAAAACACAACCAAGACAGACAGAAAATTGAACTGTATGAAAGTCTGACAACAAGGAACCATTCAGCCAGACCAATAAGAGGGGCAGAGTCAGCGGCTCACAGAGAGGAGTTGCAACAGGGAGAAGCGGTGGCTGCCGGACCAACCCTGGTGCGCAGGAAGCAGTTGGCAGATCACAGGCGTGGTTGTGGCAATGGGCAGACCCAGTAAGGACGCAGCGCGGCTGGCTGACTGCACGGTCACACATTCACATGCAGATAAACCAAGTGAAGGAGTGAGCAGTGAGACAGACCACTCAGGCTAGGGCCCCAGCAACGAGAATTAAAGCCTAAAAGCACCAATTGGAAAAACTTTCGGGGGTGCTGGGAGAGGCTCTCGGTCTCACAGGAGAGTTCACTGGAGAGACCCACAGGGTCCTAGAATGCACACAAGCCCACCTACCCGGGAACCAGCACCAGAAGTGCCCAATTTGCTTGTGGGAAGCAGCAGAGGGGACCAAAATCTGAGAGAGAGCAGAACAAATGCCATTAATCCCTCTCGAACCCTGCCCCCACATACAGCATCACAGCCCAGCAACTGGGTTGCCCCGCCCTGGTGAACACCCAAGGCTCTGCCCATCACAAGTAATGGGTGCAAACAGACCAAAACATTATGGCTCAAGCAGAAGAACAGCTCAAAGCCTCAGAGCCAATACTTCCAAGTGACAAAGAGATAGCCAACCTATCAGATACACAGTTCAAAACACTGGTGATCAGGATGCTCACAGAACTGGTTGATTTTAGTCACAAATTAGATGAAAAAATGAAGGCTACACTAAGTGAAATGAAGGAAAATGCACAGGGAACCAATAGTGATGGAAAGAAAACTGGGACTCAAATCAGTGGAGTGGACTAGAAGGAAAGAAGAAACAACCAAACAGAAAAGAATGAAGAAAAAAGAATTCCAAAAAAATGAGGAGAGGCTTAGGAACCTCCGGGACATCTTTAAACGTTCCAATATCCGAATTATAGGGGTACCAGAAGGGGAAGAGGAACAGCCACAAGTGGAGACCTTATTTGAACAAATAATAAAGGACACCTTCCCCATTCTGGCAAAGGAAATAGACTTCCAGGAAATCCAGGAAACTCAGAGAGTCCCAAAGAAGTTGGACCCAAGGAGGAACACACCAAGGCACATCATAATTACATTAGTCAAGGTAAAAATGAAGGAGAGAATCCTAGAAGCATCAAGAGATAAAGGGACATTCACCTACAAAGGAGTTCCCATAAGACTGTCAGCTGATTTCTCAAAAGAAACTTTGCAGGCAAGAAGGGGCTGGAAAGAAATATTCTAAGTCATGAAAGGCAAGGACCTACCTCCAAGATTGCTCTATCCAGCAAAGCTTTCATTTAGAATGAAAGGACAGATAAAGTGCTTCTCAGATAAGGTCAAGTTCAAGGTGATTCATCATCCCCAAGCCCTTACTATATAAAATGTTAAAGGGACTTATCTAAGAAAAAGAAGATAAAAAAACATGTATAGTAAAATGACAGCAAACTTACAATTACTAACAACCACACCTAAAACAAAAACAGAAACAAACTAAGCAAACCACTAGAACAGGAACAGAACCACAGAAATGGAGATCACATGGAGGGTTAGCAACAGGGGAGTGGGAGGAGGAGAGAGGGGGAAAAGGTACAGAGAACAAGTAGAATAGTTGGTAGGTAGAAAATAGACAGTGGGAGGGTAAGAAGAATATGAGAAATGTAGAAGCTAAACAACTTATGACACATGGACATGAACTAAAGAGGGGGAATGTGGGTGGGAGAGGGTTTGCAGGATGGAGAGGAATTAAGGGGTGGAAATAGGACAACTGTAATAGCATAATCAATAAAATATATATTTTAAAATATGGAGTACACAAAAAATATATTGAAAATATCAGAGCCTCAAAAACTGTAATGATTGAATTACTGACTTACTATTTAAAAAAATTTTGGACACTATGAAAACAGGAGAGCACAACATTTGGTCACTTTTGTTTCAGATATGTTACTGTTGGTTGAAGAAATAAAACAACACAGAATTGACTTAAGTCCTGTTCCCAAATGCCACCACTGTCATGAAATTGCTGTGTATATTTCTCGCTCATGCTTTTTTATTATTTTTTGTTTTGATTTTTACTTTTATCTTTTTTTAAATTTTATTGATCATGCCATTACATTTGTTCTATTCCCCCCCTCCGTTCCCCTCCACCCTGCACACCTCTCTCCATAATTTCCCCCCCTTTAGTTCGTGAACACGTGTCTCAAGTTCTTTAAATTCTATATTTCCCCTACTATTCTTACCCTCCCCCCTATCTATTTTCTATCATTATTTTCTATTTATTATTATAAATAACACTGAATTACATAGATTTGTACATGTCTCTCGGTACATATGCAAACTTTCTCTAGAGCAGTTCTACATATCAGAATCACCTGGGAAATTCATTTTTGACTTAAGATGTCTGGCCTCACTTAAAGAAATTAGCTTTTGACTGGTGTGTGGTGGAGTCCAGACATCATTGCTTTCTTAAAGCTACCCCAGTGATCCTTGTCATAAAAGGTAGTACTTATTTTCATTCTACATAATGGTACCCTATTAAAGTAGGAGTTGAAGAAAAAAGTAAAGCCCTGGCTGGGAGGCTCAGTTGGTTGGAGCATCATCCCAGACACCAGAAGGTTGCGGGTTTGGTCCCCAGTCAGGGCACACGCCTAGGTTGCAGGTTTGATCCCCCATTGGGTTGTGTATAGGAGGCAGTCAATGGATGTTTCTTTCTTACATCAAAGTTTCTCTCTCTCCCCCTCACCCTTCTTCCCTCTCTAAAATCAATAAGTACATATTCTCAGGCGAGGAATTAAAAAAAAAAGAATAAGGGTCAAGAGGAAGGTGAAAAAAGTGGAGATAAATACCAGATACAGGTCCGAGTATTTAAAAAGAAATGCTGCATAGTGCTACAGATGATCCAGAAATCATTAGACAACTATAAGTTAGACAACTGGAAAAAAGAAACCTAGCTCTGGCTGGTGTAGCTCAGTGGATTGAGCTCGGGCCTACGAACCAGAGTATCGAGGTTTGATTCCCAGTCAAGGCACATGCCTGGGTTGCAGCCCAGTTCCCAGCGGGGGACGCGCAAGAAGCAACCATACATTGATATTCCTCTCCCTCTCTCCTTCCCTTGCCCTCTAAAGATAAATAAATAAAATCTTAAAAAAAAGAAAATAAAAAAGAAACCTAGTCAGTCGTATCACTCAATGTTCATAAAACCTTAAACCAAAACAACCATTTTTTCATGAAAAAATAGAAATGTTCTCAGAATGAACAAGAAATTGTGCTGATGGGCCTCATACAGAAGACTGCCATGCAATGAACATTATCTTCTGTATCATCTTTCTAAATATGCAAAAACTACTTGAGAAAGACACTGTTTATTACAACCTGCAACATGGCAACAGAGAAGACAGATTTCCATGTTTCTACAGTGTGCACTGCAGACCCCGCTGAACGATCATCCATGTGTATTTCATTCTTTGTCGTATTAGAACTGTGAGTCCCTCAAGGGACCCAATCACCTCTTATTTATCTCTAGTGCTTAGCACAGAGTTGGGCATATGGTAGGTTACAAGATTTGTCAAAAGAATATCACAAACTCCCTTTCACTCTTGTCTGCTGCCTTTACCTCGGACAGTGTCCAACAGTGTCCCCTCGGTAGTATAAATGTTCAGTCCATGCTGCAAATTGATTCTCACTAACCACTCTTCTATAGCTGCGATGTCTGTGTGAAAACAAAAGGCAGATAATTAACTGCTCTTCACCATGTCATGTTGGCATCATTGAAGCCTCTATGAACACCACTAACAATGATTACTTTTAATTTCCCAATCATTTTTATTAGATTTATATATTTTTTCTGATGTTCTTCCTACAAACATTTTGACGACACGATAAGGAAAAGGAATTGTGAATTGATCTGCCAGCATAGCAATAAATCCAGGTCATATTTTAGACCAGAATTTTTCTCTGAAGGCAGTTGGTGATTAGTAAAAAGCAAATTATGCACTTCAAGTGAAATGGTATACTATTTTTTGAAAGTAGACTGTGATTAATTAAAATATCTAGTGTAAACCCTAGGGCTGACAATAAGAACATTTAAAAGCATAAATAATATGCCATTAGTGCAGATAAAATAGAATCACAAAAATATACGTAATGTAAATAAAGACAGAAAAGGAAGAGAAAGGTGAAGCAGAAGAGCTGGAACAGGTGAACACATGATGGAAGGTTTTATTACAACCACACCAACAATTATATTACATGTACCGTATTTTTAGGACCATAAGATGCACCGGACCATAAGACACACTTAGGTTTTAGAGGAGGAAAATAGGGAAAAAATTTTGAAGCAAAAAATGTGGTAAAATATTTAATAACCTGTGACTCTGCTCCACCGTGGCCTGCCCCACCCCGCCCTCACCACAGCGAGCCAGGTACGCTACTTTTGGACTACAAGACGCACCCCCCTTTTCCTCCCAATTTTTTTTGGGGGGGGTGCATCTTATAGCCTGAAAAATACGGGTAAATGGTCTAAAAATACCAATCAAGAGTTAGATTTCCAGATTAGATGTAAAAATCAAGGCTGAACTATATGCTAACTCTAAGAAACCCACTTCAAATGAAAACTGTTGATGAGCTAAAAGTGTGAGTGGGAACGGAGGAAGCTGGGGAATGCAGCCTGGGAGTTGCTGCGGCGGTTGTGCCCACGGGCCAGGACTGGGGCCAACGTTGAAACCAGAGTGCACCCATGAAGAAGGTGCCTGACCCAAACAGCCTGACTGCTCAAGCTCATGTCTGCCCAGAACTCTAGGTGGATCTATGCCCCACCCCAGCTAGACTGTGGCACTTCCAGTGACTGCTGGAGCACCTGGTACCCAAGCAGATCAACTGCTGTTGGTGCTCTTGTTGTCGCTGCTCTCTATCCAGCATCTATGGAAGACAATGGCGTGAGAAACATCATCTATGCTTCTACAAAAGGACCTTCCGGCACAACTAGCTAACACAGTGGGAGAAGTTGATGTTCTGATGGAGAACCTAACTGGCCTACACTGGGACTGGATCAAAGTTGGCATACGTGTAGTTTCCATGAACTTGTAAAACAGAAAAATATCAGCCCTGAAGATCCACAGGTCTTGGATAACTTTTATAAGTCTTAATTAAAAATAGAAACAGAAATGATGATGTGGTTCTTATTATGGTACACAAAATAATTGAACATAAAGAAAGGATGGGTTTGATATTTTCAATGGGAGTAACATTCAATATTTTCCAGATTGGTTTTATACCAACATCTCTTTCCACCTGCTTGTTAAGCAGCACACACTTCTGTTTGGTGGTGATATTCAGCCTGCTCATCCTAAATACAAAGGAAGTATTAATCCCACCTGTGATATGGCCAAGGTAGTGAAAGATGCATATGTAACAGCCAAGAGGCAGTGTGGGCAGTGTTAGCTGGTAGATCCAGGGCTGGAAGTTGAGTTCAATGCCAAACTCCAGACAAACATATTCAGGTAGTTTATGAGCCCTCCTCACATGCTATTCAAGAACTCAGAACAACAGTAGGACTATGTAAAGAGTTACAGAAAAGAGGGCTCTCTGGCTGTTAAAACCCACGTTACTTTGGGTAAAGAAGACTTATCCCTTAGAGAAGTGACTAAGGTGATGGTGACTACTCTGAAAATTAGCACCACGGTTATTCCAGTGCTTGAATGTTTATTTTCTTTATACTAGTTGGACATTTTATGAAGCTAAGGTAATCAAGACGGTGTGATATTGGTAAAAGATAGCCCAGAAATGTTAATTTAATGGAGGCAAAATATTTGTACCACAATGGTGCTAGAATAATTGCATATTCATAAATTCCCCCAAATTAACCTCAGTCCGTCTATACAATGCACAAAAATTAACTCAAACTGAGTCATCAACCTAAATACAAAATGTGGAACCATAAACTTGGGCTAGGCAAAGATTTTTTAGCTGTGACACCAAAAGTACAATCCATAAAACTAAAAACTGATAAATTAGACTTCACCAAAATCAAGAACCCTGATATTTAAGAGGCATTCTTAAGAAATGAAAAATACAAGCCATATCCTGGCAGAAGGTATTTGCAAATCATATATCTGACAAGGACTTGTATCTAGAATATGTAACAAACTTGAAAAAGATTTGAATAAATAATTCACCAAGTGGCAAATAAGCACAAAATCTGGGCTATAACATACCACTTAATAGTAGATTCCACAGTAAAATAACACATTCCACATTATAGCCTATAATATTTTAAGATTAATGATTCAGTTTAAATAAAACTAATTGGTATAGGAATTTCTCAATGTTCTAATTTTTCAAGTTCTAGATAATAAGTTTACTTTAAATAAAGAGTAATATAAATGTTATATGTGTCAGAACAATCTATAAAAGAATTTTCAGATATAGAAATTAAATTAATTTTCAATTAAATTTGAATTTCAGATTAAGTACAAGTAATTTTTAGCATGACCTGAATACTATAGTATAAGATATTTATATGGGGTAGCAAATATTTTTGTAATATAATAAATATTTTTATTTGTTCAATTTGGGAATCCAGACCCATGACTAAAATAATCAATTCAGATCACTCTTACCTGTATTTTTGGTAATGTTTTCTCTGGGAATAATAATCAGCCAGTTAGCTCGATCACTGTACTTAAGTAAAAAAATATCAGAAAACAATGTTTTACAATCTTAGTAACACTTATTTCTGCCTATTACACCCTATCTCTTAAAAACAAATGTAAGACAAAACATCCAATGCATAAACCCTTTACCCAGTACTTTTATTCTTAGGAATTTATCCTACATTATACTCACATATGTGTGAAATGTATTCAAGAATATTCTTCATCATTATTTGTAATAGTAGTAGACTGGAAATAACTAAGATGTCCATCAGTTATATATAAATATAGTATTACAGCCACAAACTGGAATATCATATAGCCAAGTTCAAGTAGGCAAGTCTCTAAAGCAGTGCTGGCTTGATGTCCACCAAGAGGACAGACCTTGGTGTTTACAGAGCATTTGGGAATTTAAGAGGGAAATCCCAGGATCAAATGAACTGTAGGTATGATCTAAGTGTTCAATATAAACTCTTCCCAAGTCCTTGGGCAACACAAGTACAGAGAAGATCCAGAGAAGGCCACATAAAACAAAACAAAACAAAGCAAAAAACCCAGCAGTGGAAGCTAAGAGAACTGTGCTCATATATCAGCCACTGAAACCATAGGTAAGACAATCTGCAGTTTGTGCCAAGGGAAATAATAGCCTTTTAAACCACCACCAACAAAAACAACAGCAAATTTTCATGGGAACATAACAGAATCCAGAGTTGCTACAGTTATTATCATCACTGTCCATTTTTCAACCAAAAATGACAAGACATGAAAAGAAAGAGGAAGGCATAACTGATTTTCAGGGGGGAAAGGTAGACTCAGAGTGAGTCCATATAGCAGATGAAGGCCTCAAAGCAGCTATTACAAGTATGTACATAGATTTAAGGAAAATGTCCTAATGAAGGAATGGATAGGAAATTCCAGCACATAAATTTTTAAAAATACAGAAATAAAACCAAATGGAAAATATCAGGCTGGAAAGTAAAATAACTGGAAAAATATTTATTAGATGAGTTCAAAAGCAGACTACAGATAGCAAAGGAAAGAATACATGAACTTAGAAATATAGCAATTGAAATTATCCAATCTGGAAAAGAGGGAAATGATTAAAGAAAATGAACAGATACTTAGCTATCTGTGGGGCAACATCACAAGTTCCAAAATGTGCATAATTAGAATTCGAGGCAAGAAAGAGGCATAGAAAGTGGCAAAGCATTTTGGGAGAGAAATAGTGGCTGAAGACTTTACAAATTTGGTAAACTTACAATCCAAGCAGCCCAGAGAGACTCAGTTAAGGTAAAGACAATGTTAAAATTTTATTTATTTATTTTTAGAGAGAGGGGAAAGGAGGGAGAAAGAGAGGGAGAGAAACATCGATGTGAGAGAGATACACTGATCAGTTGCTTCTCTTACACACCCTGACCTGGGACAGGACCTGCAACCCAGGCATGTGCCCTGTCTGGGAATTGAACCGGTGACCTTTTGTTTTGTGGCTAATGCCCAATCACTGAGCCACAGAGGCCAGGGCCACAATGAAACAATCTTAAAACTATTCAGAGAAAGATGACGCATATAGGAGAAAAAGATAAAATTAACAGCTGACTTCTCATTCAGAAACAATAGTGTCAGGTGACAGAATTAAAATTCAGAGTGACATATTCAAAATGCTGAAAGGAAAGGAAGTAAACCAGAAACTCTGTATCTGAAAATATTGTTATTCAAAAGTTGTGACCACTAAGAACTATTAAAATTCGTAAGTGAATTTAGCAAGTTTTCAGTATACAAGATCAATATATAAGAATTCATTGTATTTCTACATATTTGCAAAGAGCAATCTGAAAATGGGATTAAGTAAGCAATTTCATTTACAATAGCATCAAAACAATAAAAATATCATATTATGAATATACTTAACAAAAGAAGTATACCACTTAGACTCTGAAAAATACAAAACATTGTAACAAATTAAGAAAATCTCAGTAAATAGAAAAATATCCCATATTCATGTTTGTAAGACAATATTATTAAAATAGCAATACTCCCCCAATTTGATCTATAGGTTCAATACAATCTCTAGCAGAATTTCAGCTGGCTTCTCTGCAAAAATTGACAAACTTATCTCAAAATTTATATAAAAACTAGCAAACTTCATACGAAGACTAGCAAATACAATCTTGAAAAACAACAAAGTTGTAGGACTCATTCTTCTGATTTTCAAACTCACTACAAGGCAACAGTATCAAGGCAACATGGTGTGGGCTTAAAAGAGATGGATGCAGCAATGAAATAATCTAGAAACAAGCTCTCATATTTGTAGTCAACTGATTTTCAACAAAGTTGCCTCAACAATTCAGCAGGAAAAACAATAGTATTGCATTTTCAACAATACTGTTGTTGGGGCAGTTGGACAGCCACACGCAGAAGGATGATGTGGACCCCAGCAGTCTCACGCCACACACAGAAATGAACCGAAATCGATCAGTAACCTAAAAGGAACATTTTAGAAGAAAACATGGCAGTCTACACAGGCTACGAATACACTAAAATCATTGTACACTTTAAGTAGGTGAATTGTATGTATGTGAATTATGTCTTCATAAAGTCGTCACCAAAAAAAAAATGAAGGTAAAACAAGACATTTTCCAGGGGGAAAAAAAAATCCCAGAAAATTGTTGCTAGTAGACGTGCACTGTAAGAAATGTTACAGGAAGTTCTTCAAGCTAAAAGGATAAGACACCAGGTGGCAACTATATCTACAGAAAAGAATGAAATGTGTAGGTAAGTAGTAAGCAATCATATGTACTTTTTTCTTTTCTTCTCTTAATTTCTTTAAAAAACATATAACTAATTTATAAAACTTATTTATCTATTTTTAGAGAGAGGGGAAGGGAAGGAAAGGAGAAAGAGGGAAATACCAACGTGTGGGTTGCCTCTTGCACACCCCCTACTGGGGAACCTGGCCCAGGCATATTCCCTGACTGGGAATTGAACCAGTGATTCTTTGGTTCCCAGCCCATGCTCAATCCACTGAGCTACAACAACCAGGGCTAAAAAAATATGAGTTTTTAAAGCAAAAAGTATAACCTGCATTATACATATATTATTACTGGACTAGCTATTTTTTTAAAACACATTCTATAAAAAAGAGTATGCTCCTTATGAATAACATATTGCAGAATAAGATAAAATGTAATTACCAAAGTTAAATTAAAGTGGAAGATGCCAGTATATGTACTGTTAATGACTTCCAAGCTGGGAGCAAGTCCTCCTGATGTGAACATGCTTAGAAATTCTTCTGAAGAACGCTTAGTTTTAGAATGGAAAAAGCAATGGATTTGCTTTAGGAAAGAGTGAAAAAAAAAACAACAACAGGTGATGACAATTCAGTGGAGAGAAGCACATTACATTAATTTAAAAGTAAGAAGAAATCAATGAAAAGTATATGCTGCTAAAGACTGATATCTTTAGTAACTCTAGTTTCTGGGGTGAGTCTGTTTTGAAAAACACACTTTCAGAACTCGGTCACCTATCACACCAGTGTCACAATAGGTTTTGTTATCCTCATAATAATAATCTTCAGGTCACAGAGGTGGTCATAAAATTGTGACGCTTAATAAATAAGCCACATGCTACCACATGTAGAAATCCTTATTGTGTGTCTAAATAAAAAGAAGCAACATATAAAGCAAAACTCATTTTACTGCATTTTGCTGGATATTTCCCCATTTTAAGAAAGTATATGAAAATGCAGTAATCACAAATGGTGAGAGATACTAAGAGTTTTAACTTATTTCTCCCGGTGCTTTGGGTAAGTTACCCTTTAAGTTTCAGAGTCCCTAGCTATGAAGTGACGAAACAGACTCATTCCAGAAATATTTACTGAGCCCTTTCCACAAATGGGGCAGTGACATAATGCTGGAGAGACAGACCTGAATGAAACAAAAGTCCCTGCCCTCGTGGAACTTCCAGTTTAATGGGGACTGAAAGGAAGATAAACCTAAAAAACCCTTTTCCTTTGTCTTGTCACCCCCCAGAATTTATTGCTCTTTGTTAGGATCGTATGCATGCCTTAAATTCTAACCATCCCTTTGAGCTCCTTATCATATATAAATAGAGTCTTTTTCTCCTGTCAATCTGTCTTTTCTCTGTTTTCTTTATAGGCCCCAAGTCTGTGAACCTAAGAGGGTAGGGTTAGTATTTCTCTACAGTTCTTATCTTAAAGACGATTAAATGTCACAATGAACACACTTGGAACACATTTTCAAAACACTTTAAAAAAATGTCTGACCCACTTAAGCTGTTTATACATTTAGTTATTTTTTTACTAATACCACTTCTAGGCTACAACAATACAACTACCCAACAAGTAGGTTATCATTCCCCTTTAAAAAGGACACAACTGAGGACCAGAGAGGTTGAGTAACCTGGGCCGGGGCACACAGATCGTACATGGAAGGACCGAGATTTGACTGCAGCTCTACACGTCTCTTTCTCTAAAGCCTTTCCTTTCCCGTAAAACATAAACACAAATAGGAAAATCATTTTTTGACTCAAAGGGCACACACTTTATGATAGTTGTAAATTCTTAAAAAGTATATATATGTTTGGCATATCAAGAAGGAACTGGAAGTAAGTCAATGCAGAGTGTGGGCTAAATGTATTTGACCTTGTATGGTGTTTTTGTTTGTGTTTATTACATTTATCATAGATTTTTAAGCAAAAATCTGTTCATTTCTTATTAATACGTGTGTTTGTTAGCCTTTGCCGCATACCTATGTGAACAGTGTGTTTTATTTTGTTTTGCTGTGAATCTGCCATTATTTGAATCAATGAAATTCGGTCATCCCTTACCCAAACGGTAATCGCAATGTGGCACTTGTCATAAAAGGGAAAGGTTGTTTCTAAAGGTCAGTGAGATGCCTTTCTTTGTCTACGAGGCCACATCTGTCAACCTTCAAAAGTACAAATCACATCCATAACTGAGGAAAAGCATGACAGCCAATCTTTTAAAAAGGGGAAGGATGAGGCATCTAAAAATAAAAAAGCGAAACCACCTAGGGCATTCAAAGGCTAAATGACATATTTTACCTAGTCCCAGAGGAACAGAATAGAGAGGATTATGACTTATAAAGAATTTTCCCTCCCCAAGTCTGAACATGGTAGGAGCTATTTGAAAAGTGTGCAGTGCCACTGGTTTTACGTACGGAGTTAAAAGGAATGAATGTAAAAGATTGCAACATGCGGTTAGTGGACCTCACCAAGTCATCTGAGGACAGGTACAGCTTGATTATTTCTCTCTTTTGGTGAAACCCTTGGCTACCACAAGAAAAGTGTTCCTCTGTATCACCTAAATAACATAAATACATAAATATATCTTAAGTTACTGATAGAATTTCCATTAAAATCATATTTTTAAATTGATGAAATATTTTAAAAGAATAATTACAATTGTATGCTTTAACTTCATACATGTCTACCTAAAATTAAAATCTTTGACCATGTTTAATATTAAGGATACAGAATCAGGACACTAAAAAGGAAGGTTTGACCAAACACTAAAATAAAATATACCACTACAAAGCTACAGTGCAAAATTTTCAGAGAAGGTCTAAAAACAGTCCTTGACTCTTAGGTCCTCAACCTCGGTGAGCTTATGCAAGGGTCAGGAGTTGGAGACTGGGAAGAAAATTTGTTTTAATAGACAGCTAGTAACATGAAGGTTACTCCTCCCATACAAAGGAGGGTGGGGGGAGGGAGAGCCCTTCTCCTTATCAGCATCTAAAGCAAGTCTCTTGTACAAAGCCTGGAGCTGGATGTGTGTGTTTTCATCCATCCTGCCAGTCTCTGCCTTTTGATTGAAGAGTTTAATCCACCTACATTTGAAGTAACTACTGAGAAAGAGAGACTTCTGTCATTTTGCTATTAGTTTTCTCTATGCTTTCTACTTTCCCCCCTTCATTTCCTGCATTTCTTTTGTAGTGAGCTGGGTTTTTTTGCATTGAAACTTACAGCTATTTTCTTTGCAGTTTCCATGGGGATTACATTTAACATCAGAAAGGTAAACACTCCAATTTGAATGTATAGCAGCTTAGCTTCAACCACACACAAAAACTATTTCTTACAGTTCCATCCCCACCCCTTTCAGCCACTGATGTCACAGAATTACATCTTTATACCTTGTGTGCCCCAAAACATAAACTATTATTTTAAAAGGTATTCGTCTCTTGAATTATATAGAAAGTAGGATCTAGAGTTCCAACCAAAATTAACCGAAGTTACGATAACACTAACTTGTAGACTAATATATATTTTTTTAAATGTTCATTTCTTAAATCACGTAAAAAAAGTAGAGTTACAATCCATTGTTACAAGAATACTAGCTTTTATAATTGCCCAAGTATTTGCCTTTATTGACATCTTTATTTCTCTGCATGGCTTCAAGTTACTGTCTAGTGTCCTCACATTTCAGCCCACAGGACACCCTTGAGAATTTCTTGCCAGGCCAATCTAGTGGTAACAAACTCCCTTAGTTTGTTTATCAGAAAATGTCTGATTTTTTCCCTCATTCCTGAAGGGAAGTTTTCCCAGATATACAACTCTTCATTGACAGGTTTTCTCTTGGAGAATTTTGAATATATTGGCCAGCTGCCTTCTGGCCTTCAAAGTTACTCATGAGAAATCTGCTACTACATTATTGAGGCTTCTTTGAACTTAATGATTTGTCCTCTCTTGCTGTTTTCAAGATTCTTTACTTTGGTTTCTGAACGTGTGATTACGATGTGTCTCAGTGTGGGTCTGTGTGAATTTATCTTACTTGGAGTTTGTTGCGCTTCCTGAATGTTTATGTTGATGCCTTTCATCAAATTTGGGGTTTTCAGCCATTATTCCTTCACATATTCTCTCTGCCCCTTCCTCTCTCTCTCTCCCCCTTTTCTTCAGTTATTCCCAAATGTGTATGTTGGTCCATTTGACAGTGTTGCACAGGTCCCTTGTTCTATTTGCTTTTCTTCAACCTTTTTTTCTTTTTGTCTCTTAGCCTCAATAATTTCCTTTGTCCTATCTTCACATTCACTGATTCCTTAATCTACATGTTCAAATCTGCCCCTGAATGTCTTTAGTGAATTTTTTATTCCAGTTACTATACTTTTTAGTTCCTGCATTTCTTTCTGGTTTCTTCTTACTCTTTCTATCTCTTTATTGATATTTCTATTTTGTCCGCACATTGTTTTGTTGACCTTCTTCACATGTTTTATTTGTTCTTTGGACATCTTTAAGATGATTGTTTTAAAGTAATTGCCCAGTAGATCCTCCATCAGACCTCTTCCAAGAAAAGTTTCAGTTGATTAATTTTTTTCTCTTTGAATGGATCATGCTTTCCTGTTCGTTTGCATGTCTTGTGACTTTTTTTCATTGCTGTTGAAGACTAACATTTGAATCTAATAATGTGGTAACTTTACCCATCAGATTCTCCCCATTCCCTGGGGTTCGTTTTTTGTTACTGTGTTTACTGTGAGCTTTTGTGTAGGCTGTCTCCATGAACAGGCTCAGCCCATGGAGTACACATTAGATTTTCTCAGGTCTTCTCTGAGCCTCTGTGTTTCCCTGGGCGCGTGCAGTCACTTTCTCATTTGCTCCATATATGCTGTTGTTTAGAATGTCCTAGTCCTAGTCCTTAATGTTTGATTCCCAGAAGGAGAAATAAGTAAAAAATGAAGGAGGGGGCAAGGACCTCGGCCCTTTAAAAGCCCTGAAAATCATCTCAGCTGGAGGGAGAGGTTCTGGCAACAACAGAGGTGAGGTGGTAACATAATGGCTGCCTGCCTCGTTGTCTGCCCCTCTGTGATCAGAAGCAGCAAGCAGCAATCAGAGCACGTAGCCCCAAATGCTCAGAAGGCAGGGCCCTTTTTGCCCACCCTGGCTTCCACAAGCTGTACACAACTTCTCCGGACATGTGAGCATAGCTGTCTGCCATGGGAGTGAGGATGGGGTGTGGGTAGCTTCTACTGTGCTGAGTTGATAATGACTAAGATGAGCTACAGTTTACTGTCCAGGTTTTCCCCAGGAAGTAACAAAGTCTTCAGTAGATTTCAGGGTTACAAAGGAGTTACATCAGATTCCTCCAGTGCAATTATTGTCTAGGTGGAGAGACACATTCCTGGTGCTTCCCACTCTGCTATCTTTCTAGAATCCTCTATTCCTTCTCCTTATCTTGAGTCTGAGAAAAGAGGCTTTGATGGGACCACTCAACAATGTAACATATATGGCTTTGATTTGGAGTACAAACTCAGACTCCTGCTTGAAAAAGACAAGAGATGATTGGGTGGATAGGATAGCACAAAGCTTTATGGGAAGAAGGTAGCTTTGTTAAGAGTCCTGAACCACCCAGATTTTCTGGGGCAAAAGATGCATGAATGCTTCCCTTGGTCACTTGTGAGAAATAAGCAGCATTGGGTCATCTAGGGTCCTGTCCTCAAATGTCTCTGTGAGTGGCAAGTGGGTCTTAGCAAAAAGAATTTGAAGGTACAAATTAAAGAATTTGCTTTTCACAACAAAAAAAGGTGAAAATCGAATCACCTCATTGTAACCAAAAAAATCTCATGGGATTTGCCCAAATGTTCATCCAAAGACAGAGGAGGAACTAGTCTCAAAGAATAGGAGGTGAAAATAAGTTTCCTGTATGATCGATTACATGTTATTCATTGTGCAACTTAACAGTTGCTATCCTAAAATTCTGTAAGAAAATATATTAATGCAAGTATCACAAATATGGCTTAAAGTATATTGTGAGGTTATAATGTTAAACAGTTTTTAGCGTATCCCCTGCATTGACTTTGCCCACACCCGACAATGTTGTCAGATCTATTTTTTTTTTTTAGATTTTTAAAAATGTATTTATCTTTAGAGGGGAAGGGAAGGAGAAAGGGAGAGAAATATCAATGTATGGTTGCCTCTCATGCTTCCCCTGCTGAGAATGGGCCTGCAACCCAGGCATGTGCCCTGACTGGGAACTGAACTGCAATCCTTTGGTTTGCAGGCCCGTGCTCAATCCACTAAGCTACACCAGCCAGGACCATCAGATCTATTTTTTAAAGCTACAATTTGATTCTAAAGTCCAAATCACTTCTCTGCTTAAAAAATCTTTACTGCCACTTTGTTGCCTAATGAATAAACTCCATAAGGGAAGAGAAGCTAAACAGATGGAAACTAATTCCTTTGAGTTAATTTGAGCCAGACTCTGGGTCCACCTTGTGCCATAGGTATTACTGTCCCCTCCTTAAAGAAGACTGAACCACAGCTCAGGAAGATGGAGGTATTGCTCAAAGGTCACCTGACTCCCAACAGAAAGTCAGAGTGGGACCAAGATGCTCCTGTGTCTGAGGGCCATTCTCCCTTTATCCTGTGCGACAGTGTTAGATGACCAAGCCCCTCCTTCAAACTCCCCTGCACACAATCTACACTCCAGCACTCTGTGGGGTTCTATTTCCATTCTCAGTCTCAAATTTTAACACATTTTATGATCTGGTTAAATATTTTTGATCCACCATTGGAAATCTGGAGATATGGGATGAAGGGCCAACTGTCTGCATTCTTCCACACCATGTCCTTACAACTGAATTGAACACCTTTGAATTTGGGTCTCTGAGGAGGGTTCTGAGACCAATCCCCCGCAGATACCAAGGGCCACTATGGTTAAATTCTGTATTTCAGAAAATGTTCTCAGTCTCAATCTACTAGCATTATAATTCAGTTTATAATTCATACTACAAGCAACTATTCGTGGAGAAAAAAGAGATTCAAATAAAGTTTTGCAAATATAAAATACTCCTTAAATTTTAAAGATTCTATGACTTCTAAGTAATGAAATATCATAACAAGAAGAGAAGTCTCTATGTATACAACTTAACAATAGATTCACATTGTTAGAAAGTTTTGAACCAGAGTACGATAAATAATACCTCAGAAGATTGGAAGATATGGTAATGAAGAAGTGCTAAAAGAAAAATATTTTAACTGTTAGTGAGGAAGGGATATATGAGAACCCCTGAGAAGAAAGTGGAGAGTTAGCGAGTCTGAAACTTACCCTTATTATTATATATTATTCCTGATGAAAAATCAAAGATGTTCAAAAGTAAAATTATAACATATAAAAATAGCAATTCCATCTGTTGAGAGAAATAAGAATTACTTCTATTTGATAACTTCAAACATACTATTGAGTTCCTTTGCTATACGTAACTACAGACTTAAGAAACATCACTTCCCTGAGGTTAAAAATATTTCCCCTTATGTGACAAGGGCAGATAACATAATAGTTGAGTATGGCAAGCTCTACATTTACCCCCTAACTGGTATGAAAGATATTTAGAAATACAATTATCGCAAACCAAAGAGGTGTGGCACAGGCTTTCCTTCAGTGTAGATAACTTCTGAAACGGGGCGATCAGTTCCATAGCTGTGTAAAGACAGAACCTGACACTGTGAACGCTCTGAGGATGGTAGGGCTGCGCCTTCACCTGAGATTCCGACTGCGGCGTTGTGGGGAAAGCCGTCCACATGGGTCCGGGCATCCCTGCACGTTCCTGCCGCACATTGTTCTTAGAGCTGTGTTTGTTGTGAGAAATCTTGAGGGATGAAGTGGTCTCCCTTGGACCAGAGCAGGCTTGTTTCCATGGTGAACCTCCCAAGCTCGGGGTTCCTCTCCTGTAATGCACCCTCGGTGAGCGTAAGCATCTATGATAGGCTGAGTTGTGCCCCTTCAAACATTTGTATTGAAGTCCTAAACCCCAGTACCTGAAAATGTGGTTGTATTTGGCAAAGGTCTTTATATACATGATTAGGTTAAAATGAGGTCATTAGGGTGGGCCCTAATCCCATATGACTGGTGTCCGTACAAGAAGGGGAAACTTGGACATGCATCCGGATGCTGGGAGGATGATGTAAAGACCCAGGGAGAAGGTGGCCGGCTACAAGCCATGGAAAGATGCCTGGACAGATCCCTGCCTCCTTTCCCTCATAAGTAATCAACGCTGCCCACGCTTCGATCTCAGATGTGGCGCCTCCAGAACTGCAAGACCATGGATTTCTGTGGTTGGAGCCCACCTGGTAACCTCACTTAGTGATCCTAGTGAATTAATGCAGCATCCACAATACGTACCTTGGGGGCATGGGAAGCTGCAGTGAGTGTCATGCTGCTTTGAAAATAGTGCCCTTTCCAGAAAAATCTTGTATTATTTTGCTAAACAGTCAAATTCAGAGATACAGCACCATTAGAACCCATCAGTGGTCCTGACCCTGGAAACAAATGACTGAGATATATGATGCCCCAGGGCCCCAGGGCGGTGACCTGTATTAAGTTATCCTTAAAGTTGTTCCTACCTGGTTCTCTCGAACAAATCTCTCTAATTTTATTTGCATGGATTTGGTTATATCTATCTTTGACCAAAGAACAAAAAGCTTATTTTAAAAGGTTTTTTTTTTTTAATCCTTTCATTAGGGAAAGGAAACCTGAGAGGACATAACTAAGGAGCAATGTTTGGGTCCTTTATGGCTTTGCTACTGGCTTCATATCCTCTTATTGTAGCAATTCAGCCTATCTGTACATTTTAATTTAGAGACGGAGTGTACTTTAGAGTTGATGTATGAGGCACTAAGTAACTGTTCAAAGGCTGTTACCAGCTAGTGACAAAGTTGGCTTAGAACCAAGTTCCCCAGATTCGATAGATCTAGTCGGCATACAAAGATGCTACAAAATGAAAATTTTAAAAAGTGAAGACATAACCTACATAATTAGATGTGAATTCTCACCAAGACCACTAAGTCTGCCCACCATGATTCTGCTTCATGCCTTCGGTAGTCTCATTCTTCAATGTGACCGTGTTCCTCACTTTGGTGCTGCCTTATTTCAATGAGCATCCCACGGTGAACAAGAAGGGCAGGCTTTGGCCAAACCTCAGTTCTGCCCATTGAGATGTCTGACCTTTGGAAAGCTATTCAACTTCTACAGGCTCATTTTCTATTCAGCAAAACACGGGTAACACTTCGCATGGTTATTGTGAGAATTGAATGAATAATATATTTAAAACATCTAATAGCTACTTTTCACAGAATAAACACTTCATAACCAATAGCTTGGAATCCATATGTTTATACATTGAAACAACTTCTTCATCCCCCTCACACCCTCTACTCTCCCTTCCTCGTAGCAGTTAAATTAATCCCTATTATCATTCCAATTTAATTATCATGAGTTATACATAATTGTCAGATATGAGTCTCCTATAGGGGCATTTTTTTTCTTTTCTGGCATCAAGGTAATGCAGGGAATTGAGCCCAAAGAAGGAACCTACCTCCTCCACAACTGGTTCATTTGAAGTTACACCATTACCATGCAACATGTATGTGTTAAAAAGTCATCCCACGGTAGGTCCTGTTTCCTACTGTAATTCCCTCTCAGTGGGATGCTGGACTGGCTGCACTTTCAGTTTTGTGCTTTCCCGAGCTTTCCTCCACGTAGGCTGAGAAAGAAGACCCCAAGTCGGGAGGTGAGATTTCAGTTTACTGGTTGAGAAATCCTCTTAACTTTGGTAACAGCCAAGCAGCTGCCACCCCGTAGAGAACCCTGCTTAGAAAATCTAAAGGACAGGCAGTTGGAATGTCCAACTAACTGCCTCTTGCAGAGGACCAAAGGTCATTTTCTTTAAAAATCTACAAGAGGTGGAGTTTCTCAAAACCTACCACCTTTAATACAGCATCCAGGGAGGCAGGTTCGGAAACTGACCGGAGACTGTTCATAGGATACTCCGATCATCACGGGATTACTGAGCGCCCGAGGAAAACGCGAATGTTTCAAGATCGAGCCAACCACACACAATGAGGTTTGAGAGTACCAGTCTGTCACAGAGAGCTTTGTAACTGTGCCTGGTAGGAAGAGTGGGACTTAGGCAGAGAAGACCTTACTGATGGAGTAAACTACCTAAGCAAACACAGAGGGTGCAAAGATGTGACCGAGCTGTGTATGCATTGGGATCAGGAAGACCGAATGAAATGCCAATCTGTTCTCCAGATTCACGTGTGAATGTCCTTCATGGGGTTGGTTATACCCACTCAGACTACCTTTGCCTAGTGGGCCGAGACTATCCCTTTCTAACTCACTCGGTACCTGACTAGTCTCAAGTGGTCACAGACGCTAACAAGTAATTCTTTAAATGATGACGATAAAACCTGTTTTATACTCATGTTCTTTGGAAGTCCCTTCACGCGGCCACACAGACTCTGCCTCACACTCATGTTGTGAATGATGGCTGGTATCTGGGTTTAACCTATTCCTGGAAGGGCCTGGATAAGAAATATCTTTCTCTGACTTTTTCTGGTGACCTTGATCTAAAGAAGAACGTTACTCCTCAATCTGAAATAATGTGCCGAACTCATCAAAATCTCTCTCCTAATAAGGGTTCATTTTCCAGAACCCTGGGGGCTCTCTCTTTTGTTGCTGGTTTCCCACTAGAGAAGATGAGCAAGCTTATTAAGCAAGTTGCAGTCTTCAGTCTCCGTAGCAACCCTGTGATGAGCTGTTTCCCTAAACTGCATCAGAACAGAAATGCCTGCCCGGTCTTGAAGGTACACATTGATGATGCGATGTGAAGGCCTACACAGGAGCTGATGCAACTGGGAGCTGAAAGTGGACATCCCATGCATCGTTCTTAGGAAGTTACTTGAAGATGTAACTTCCGAAGGGATAAGATGTAACAAGCAAAAGGAAAGACATGAGATCCAGAAAGGGTCAATCTGGGGGACCAGGGGGGTGAGTCCTGGGAAGACAAGTGGGGAGCAGGCAGTCCAGACAGGGCAGGTGACAGAGGGCTCCCCTGCTGGGGAGCAAAAAACAAGAAAGAAACATGCGCAGTGTGAAGTATGATTGCGAAGACAGAAAAAACTCAAGGAGGCACTTTATTCTCTTGTCAACAAGAAAAAGAATGGAAGGGGATAGGAAAAACAAAATGATCTATAAGGAAGTAATGTTCCAAATCATGATACCAGATGGCACTTTTTAAAAGAAAGTGTGCTTTGCTTGTCTGGTTTACTTTTTTTTAATCAAAGTTATGTGTGGACATAGTTAAAAGAGCCTTGTTGCCCAAAATGCTTCACCCCATTCTCCCTTCCCAGAGACGACCCCTTCCGATCTTTGCTCCTCTGTTCTGTTTTCCGTGTTAAGCATTATCTGTTGACTTTCCACGACGCAGGAAGAGGCGTTGGTGCCCTTTCCCTCCACGCTCCCAACACACAGACGCTCTGTATGTTCCTCCATCATTCAACTGTCGTCTAGTCTGATTTTAGTCTAATTGTCTGTCCACACCCATTTTCCAGCCCTTGGTTGTTCTGTTTAATCTTCTAAGGGTTTTCTGAATTTTGTCTCCCCAACCCCCTATATTAATTTTTACAATTTCTATTATACTTTTTTTTGTAATAATTGTTTTATTCTCAGAGCTTTTCACAGATTCTAATTCTTGTTTCATTTATGTAATATTCTCTTTTTTCTGAGACTAACGATAGGGTGGTGGTGGTGGTTGTTTTTTTAACCTTCTTGCATAGTTTGATTTATCCAAGTCATTTTTCCTTTTTATTTTTTCTGGCCTCAGTCTTTTGATTTTGAGACTTTCGCAACATTTTCCATGATCCTTCTTGTTTTCTCAGATTTAGAAGCTTATTTGAAGCTCTGGACCCAAGAGAATGGTCTATCCACTGTGGAAAGGGGTACAAAACAGTGGCACACTCGGGAGAAGTGGTTTCACTGAGGAATAATCTCCATGTTTTTAGGTCTTTCTCTCTTCAGCTTCTCAAGTTTCCTGGGGTCTTGCCATCTCCTTCCAGACGAGTGAAGGCCTGCCTGCTGGGGTTCTGGGGTGTCCATACTTGGTATAAAACACTCATCTGCCGCTGCTTTCGGTGTGGTTCCTGTCTCTCAAAAATTTCCACCAGCCCAGAGATCCTCAGTTCTACCCTCTCCCAAGAGTAAACCTGCAGCCTCTGCCTGGGTCGGGGAAGAGCAGGTGCCAGACGCAGCACTGGGAAGAGGGTCTAAAAACGTTGGTGGGTGTTCAAACAGTCCCGCTCTAGCCCCATTTCTCCATTTCTTTGTCCACGTCAGGAGCGCTGCCTGGCCCTG